TGGTTAGCAGTTTATTTTGTACAACTACTGTACTGTACTATGGACAGCTGATCTACTAGCAGGTTTCTATAGTTTTTCCATGTACAAAAGGTTCGAGACAAAGAACTTCATGAGTGAGGCATATCTCTTGCTTTCCGGGAAAGCAAGGAGAACGTGGAATATATTAAAGTAAACACCAGGACGTTACAAAATGCTGCTGCTCAATTTCCGGTAAAATTTCTGAAGGTTATTGGCAGGAATCCAATGTCAGAAGATGTCTGTTACAAGGAGATTGTAAATAAACATTGTAAACTTACTACTGTAAAAATTAGTATTAGGCATTCTATGATTTTTTGGGACAATCTTAGTTTAACAAGATATGGCAATTAGTAAAACCTGCAGAATAACCAAAACTTTAAATTGCAGATAAAGCATTTTAGTTGATAAGAAGCATCAGCGGATAACCAACCCCAGGTGGTTTGTTCTCTAATCTAGAATCCTGGGCACTAGACATGGTTGGGCAAGTCTCCCATCACCCGTTCACCTAGCAATATATAGGTACCCAAGAGTTAATCAGCTTCTTGTGGAGTTGCATCCTGAGAAGGGGTCAGTAGTTCAATCTTTGGAGGACCTTGATATCAGCCTAACTTATAATTCATTGTTTTGGTGATAGATTGCCAATGAATACATGTTAATCTTTTATCAAGGTTCCCCCCCCCCCCCCGGGGCTAACTACTGACTCCCTAGGATGCAACAACTACAAATCTACTCATTTCCAATTTCATGCGCTGTGGACAGCATAGGGCAAGATCGTCGTTTCTAGCCATCGACACCCAAATGGTATTCAATGTTGAAAATGAAACGACAAGAATGGTGTGGACCACTAGTGTATGCCAATGTTCTACCACACTAAAGGTATCCAATATAAAACAAGCACTAGGCAAAACTTTAGGTTTCATCAAAAGTGTGCTCTAAAGGAAATGGGAGCAGTCTTTAAACCAGAGAAGGGCCAAGACACCATGAAAGGGGCAATATGTATAAAATACAGAGCTGGGTTAGTGTCACCTGAACCAAAGTGCAATACCGTACTGTATCTCCAAATCTATTGAATGCCACCAACACATGCAGACCTTGTTATTTTTAACACTAATCAGATCTTAAAACTAGCCGATATATGACCACATGGAGGATAGATCCAAGGCCAAGTGATTATAGGACAGTGTACAATAGCGTTGAAAGGCCAAGTAGTATAATTTAGACAATACCAGTAAAACTTCTACTGTATAATCTTAATTTTACAAATAGTGGATGGAAAAGTTGTCATGTCCCCAAGTACCACAAAAACTGAACCAGCCAAAAAATTTGTAACATTCCTCAATAAGTATTACAGTACATTTAGACATTTGATATTTTTTATGAATACAGAAACTTTTCATTTTGAACTAATCAATAAGGGTAGTGGAGTGTTTTTCCATTTTGCTATACATGCTATTGGTGTTTCTGTAAAAGCACTATAGTAGTGTATGTACAGTTTTAAAATTAATTTGAACAATAATTTTATAAAGTGCTGGATGCTGGCAAACTTGGTAGTTTACTAATTTTGTGGCCGAGACGAAGCCTGTTAGACCTATGATGATTAACAGACTAATAATCAACCTTCACTAGGATGCAACCCACAACCAATTTCTAGTTCCCAGGTACCTACTTGCTACTAGGTTAATATAGGAATCAGGCTGACAAACTTTCGTAAACAGTGTCCTATATGGGAATTAACCCAGAATCATTGTTTTGAATCTACTATGCTGACCACACTAAAAAAATCCTCAGGAATTGACAGGGTGGACAAACTGACTTGGCATGAGTAGGGAAAGAAAGGGAACTAGCAGGAGAGCACCAAGCCATTACGACCATGTAACACTTTGAAGGGGTCAGGATAACATTTTGAGATGGGATGGGGGAAAAGGAATGGTACCCAGTCGAGCACGAGTAGAACATGACCAAGGGAACAAATGGTAACTGTGCCTATATGAGCCACAGACATTAGCAAGAATTGAATTAGCTATGTGAAGTGGTCTGCCACAAATTTATTTTCTTAATGACATCACGTCATGTTTCTGTTCCACCTTGCAGTCAATAGGTACAGTAATAGGGAGTTAGACAGCTGTTAAAGACTGTATGGGATATGTCGTGTTAGAGAAACATGAAGGAAAATTGCTAGAGAGTCTGTACACTAAAAACTGATGACTAGAAAGGCAGGATCGAAATTAAAATTATGTACATACTTCACATAGCTTAATAGTACAGTCCTAGAGCAACAAACCCATTAAAAATTATATAAAATAAATATATCTCATCACCTGTTTTGTACACACGAACGACTCTTAAGAGGCTTCTATAATTACTAGCGGGTTATCAGGTTTAATTTATCACATCAAACTAATACCAAATCACTTGTATTCCTTTTGAACCACCAAAACATTACTGGTATAAAAATCCAATTCCATAGTGAATAGCGACGCCTTGCTGAAGTCCTGCATCAAGATATTAAACATATTATCATCACCACCAAGACTCCTGTTTACCTGGAAGGTTGAGGGCGGGATCCACGAGAGCAAGAGAAGGTAGTGAGGTCCTAGGAGGACGCGGGGAGCCTGCAGGAGAGAGTACGGGTGCAGGAGGGCAGGTGACAGAGCTGTGTGTGTTGTGACTGTTACTGGCAAGGCTCTCCACGTCCAGCTGCCTCGTGACGTCACGTCCGTCCACACACCACACGTCACGCCAGACTCGCCAACCTTTCCCATCTCTACTCTCGCTTTATTATCGCTCTCTTATTTACTCTACTCCATTTATCTTCTCGTAAATATAACCTACAATTAACATTTATACCCTTGTATCGATATAAGACAATACTTTATCTGTATAGTTATATTGTGAATACGACTCAGTATTACTTTTGGTGGCGTTCTGTTCAGCCACCATCCGGTATATATTCCTTCCAAGAAAATATTAATTAACATTATTTCAACAAAATATTTCAGCATTAAATATGCTCTTGCAATATTAAAGCTGAATTCATTATTATGGTATTATATTCATGTTGAAGTAGCAGATGCAACACTTAATGTCGACCAAATAAAAGCCATTTTATGTTACACAAGCACCGAAAACACTTTGTTTTATCTTTTACTATAATGTCCAGCCCATCCTCCAGTTTTGGTAGTACTTATAGTAACGTTGAGGACCATAGTATATTTATATATATATACCGACCTACAACGAAATTAGAACGTAGAAGGGAAGGGCACTATCAAGAGAAAGCGCCAAGCTATTGCTCCTCTTATAGCACTTAAAACAGACCGGAAAACTATTTTTTTTTACTTGTATTGCTTTGACAAATTAAACTAACCCATCTTAACCTGCCTAGACCCAATACAAGATATCTGAGGCCTAATATAATACATATATGTGCTATACTAGGCATATTTGTTTTAGTTTCATTTATTTTAAACGAATTTCATACTACAGTAGTAGTATACTACTTTATATAAGCTACTTACGTACTATTTCTGACTATTCACTATCGTCATAATAGTTACTATTTAAACAGGACGAAAACCGTATTTTTATTTTCATTTAATTCTAAATATAAATGCACTTCATTCTCGACTCGTAATCGGGAATTCCAGGTTCGAATCCCGGGTGCGACAAATGGTCGTAGGCCTCCAAATACATGACATAGCTGATTTAATTAAAGAACCTATAAGCATGGAAGGAATTTATTTAATCCTGGATTGCCTATATGCAGTTTGAGAACAATAATATACTAAGAACTTCAGCAAAACCTTGTAGATCAGCAGCAGTGAAATCCTCACTAGTAATTCCTTCAACTGTATCATCATACCTGATTTAACCGAGGGCCACTAACCCTAATGGCCTCGACGATGACAGGAAGCCGGCAGGTGTCGAAGGTCCCCTCAATTGCCTTGCACTTATTGATATTAAAAAGCATTTGCCAGTCTTCTGACCATTTGTGGAGTTCATGTAGTATGATATTGAAGCTCTTTGTAAGGCTTCAATATCATTATCATTTCTCATTTTACCACAAATCTGTGTCATCTGCAAATTTGATGATGTGGTTTGTAATATTCTCATCTGTCATATGACAAAAAGGGTAGGCCCCAAAATGTACCCCTGTGGTACCCCATTTATCACATTTCTCCACTCAGATTCATTCCCATTTAGCATGACCCTTTGTTTTCTTTCTTTCAACCAATGTTTTATCCTTTCTAATATTTTACCATTTATGCCATACTATCTATTGCATACTGTTATGCAAGACGAACCACACATCTATGGATCATCCAATAAAATCAGCAGACTCCTGGATGCTACTACGGCTCAACTCACTTTGCTATAAGTATTTCTGGTAATTTCCATTACTGTATTTGTTGATATAGACCTGAACACATGTAAACTGTCAGCAAAATTATTCACACCTTCTATCACTATGTGATGGAGTGCAAAAAAATATGTAAATTCATAGATAGTTCTATAACAAGTATTCAAGAAATGGGTAAATATTTCATTCAAAATGATCTACTACTAGAAATTTTAGCCAAATAACCCCACAGTTTGCAAACTGTAATGTAGGGTGGGTAAGCTCGACTTCCAGTTGAATGGGAAAAGGGAAATAGAGGACCTCCATGCACATCAAACACATGGGTGACCAGTCACAGAAAACATAGGACCTGATTCATCCCCAGCAGGCAGTGTGGCAAGGGAAACCCTACCAGGCACTTGAAGGAACCTGCCAACAGATCCTGCGGGGCTTTAACTCGGACTTTGCAAGCACCATCACCATATGGTGATGGTTTCCTACCCCAGGAAACAACGCCTTGTTTCCTGGGGTAGGCGGAAACAATGTCCAAGTCTCTCGCATACACAATGCATACAAATCTCACAATTCTTGAATCATCTCACACTTATAAGTAAAATTTATAAGGATTTATGAAAATCAGGCATTATAGCTTTTACTTACAAAACTGCATTTATTTTATAATATAACCCAAGTTCATATTTTCAATGGTTTTAACATTATCAGGTAAGAAATAAGTAGATTTCTCTAACATTGTTTTGACTTCATCAAGCAACGAAATGCTGCAGGGAATAATGTGTACATTGATGTCATCTACCCATTCTCCTGTCTGACTGTCTTCACCTTTCTTCACAAGGTACAGTAATTTGATTGCATATATTTTCTTTAAACTGATGTCCTTTCTTTTTTCCAAACATAATTTCTTTGATGAATTACAATGCATTCCTTCTCTATATCCATATGATTCTTGCAACATTGTTTCACACGAGGCAAACTCTGAAATATCTGAAACCAGCAATTTTTGGTTCATGTTCATTGTCACCATGTATAAATATTTGTTTGGATTTGTCTGTGCTTGCAGCACTAATCGACAATTTACCCCAAAATTATCCTTATCAATATTGTGAAATAAGGATATTAATATTTCAGCTGAATTTCTATTATAAATGGTTTCATCTTGCTGTGTTACCCACTCAAGACTTAGTGTCCAAACCTTCACCGAGAGATTAGCCTTCTCACCGAGGAGTACTCTACACTTGGAGCATTTTACAATGCTATCATCACACTCGGCGTTCATACATTCCAACAGGTTACTGTGCACAAGAAAAAACAATTCTGTGTAAAAGCATTCATCCGGGTTAGGCTGAAGTGATGTTGGTTTGAGCTTGTTTCCGTGCTCAGCATGAAGATGGCAGAACCAATCCTCAGATGAGTGGTCCCAATCGACTGATGGCAGGGGCATCACTCTTCTAAACTTTACATTACTGAACACATAGGTTAGACACTTCTTGCACCGAGCTGATACCAACGAGCCTGAAAGAGAAGTATTTAGTTCTGTATCCAAGAACTTCGTATCCCCATCATTTAAAATATTACCACCGAGTGCAGTAATAAGTGACGTCATCTCACTAATTTGTGCACGAGCTGTGATAATGTTTGACACTTGAGTAATTCCTGTAACTGAATTTGGTACTAAATATGTCCCTCTTGGTATCTTCAGACAAACTATGTTGCCATCTTGAAGTTCAACTGAACATTCAGATTTATCAACAAGTATTTTCTGGCAAGTGGTGTCTGGAGGCAGTGTGATGTACATATTACATGCCTGAATATTTGGCAACACCTCAATTAGAACGCGAGACATTCTGTTTTTCTGTGAGTGATGGCAACCTGTAAAAAGAAAAAAAATGTTCAAATGTTAGCAAACTATAATACTAGCAGTATTCCATAAAATAATTATTATTGTATATGATTATAATAATTTAATTTATTTTATTTATATATATACAGTACTATATAGCAATAAGGTGCTGGATTCTCAAAATTTTGATGTTATGAAATACAGTACGAAGATCAATGGTTTTTATATGCATGGATTATATGACCAAAAATCTGTCTTATCTGCATCTATACCATTTCAAAAATAATTGATAAAATTAAATGGAATGAAATTTTAAAATGGCTACCTGAGGTTTAATATGATTAGCCTGATTAGTAATTATCATAATTTTGTTATTCATAAATGGAAATGATTGGTTTTAAGGGAAACTAAGTCAAATTGCCTAAAGAACAATATAGTGGAAGCTTGCTCTTATGTTATACATTTCCTTAAAAAATTCAGAGGCAATGACACCAATAACTTTTATCAATAATAGCTGGTCGATACTGGTTCCACGTGAAGAATGATGGACCAAACAACTATGGTACACTACACTAAATGAAATATCACTACTTTATATGAAAATACCACAGTAGGTTCCCTTTCTTTACACTCTGGTCATTAATAGACAGACTAGCCAACACCAGAGACCTGTAATACTGTATGTACTATCTGCCCAGCGTGACCGTCACAGAGAAGCCGGATCTGTCCCAACCTCCACTCTACTGTAGTAGTGATCTGTCCCAACCTCCACAGTAGCAGTGATCTGTCCCAACCTCCACAGTAGCAGTGATCTGTCCCAACCTCCACAGTAGCAGTGATCTGTCCCAACCTCCACAGTAGCAGTGATCTGTCCCAACCTCCACAGTAGCAGTGATCTGTCCCAACCTCCACAGTAGCAGTGATCTGTCCCAACCTCCACAGTAGCAGTGATCTGTCCCAACCTCCACAGTAGCAGTGATCTGTCCCAACCTCCACAGTAGCAGTGATCTGTCCCAACCTCCACAGTAGCAGTGATCTGTCCCAACCTCCACAGTAGCAGTGATCTGTCCCAACCTCCACAGTAGCAGTGATCTGTCCCAACCTCCACAGTAGCAGTGATCTGTCCCAACCTCCACAGTAGCAGTGATCTGTCCCAACCTCCACAGTAGCAGTGATCTGTCCCAACCTCCACAGTAGCAGTGATCTGTCCCAACCTCCACAGTAGCAGTGATCTGTCCCAACCTCCACAGTAGCAGTGATCTGTCCCAACCTCCACAGTAGCAGTGATCTGTCCCAACCTCCACAGTAGCAGTGATCTGTCCCAACCTCCACAGTAGCAGTGATCTGTCCCAACCTCCACAGTAGCAGTGATCTGTCCCAACCTCCACAGTAGCAGTGATCTGTCCCAACCTCCACAGTAGCAGTGATCTGTCCCAACCTCCACAGTAGCAGTGATCTGTCCCAACCTCCACAGTAGCAGTGATCTGTCCCAACCTCCACAGTAGCAATGATCTGTCCCAACCTCCACAGTAGCAGTGATCTGTCCCAACCTCCACAGTAGCAGTGATCTGTCCCAACCTCCACAGTAGTAATGATCTGTCCCAACCTCCACAGTAGTCGTGAGCCACAGAGCTGTTTCCCTCTAAACCTCCTCAGTATAGAGCAGTTCGTCTTCTTACTCTCTTATAGAGAAGAGCCGCATCCCTCTGTAGACTTTCCTCTACAGAAGATGTTGGTTGAGAGGCGAGGACGACTCTTGACTCTACAGAGCTGTTGTTGTTGACTCTACAGTGTTACTCTACAGATTACCCGCGTTATTCTCCAGTTGTAAACAACAACAACCTCTACACAAGGGCTGTGTTCGAACGCGTTCAATCACACATGACAATAACCAACACTAAAATAAAAAATAAGCTTTTTACTACTTTAAAAAGAGACAAGAGCATAATATAAACAATAATTAATATTTTAAATTTTTAAACTGACTAGGGGTAAACTCAATTATATTATATTCCTAGTTGTTGTTATTGATATTATATTTCCTCATGGGTATACTTGAGAGGAAACGGAGTAACCTGCAGGTGAAGCAGCTGGGAGTTTACACATTAAATTAGGTTACAGCGAGTAGTTTACAGTAAGGAAGACTGTATTCAATCCTGTAATATATATTTAATTACACTTGGAGTATTATACATGATGTTAGCTAGGCTTGTCATGGGTTCAGTGTGGTTTAGGGAGTGAGACCAAGTTGGGTTATTTAACCCGATTGTTCCCTAGTTTAGTCTAATCAGAAGTGTTTAAGTGTCTTTTGAGTCCCCTTGTTTTGATTGTTTGTGGGATTGCAGTCCCCGTGGCGCAGTGGTAAGACACTTGCCCGGTGCTTCGCTAGCACTTTGGCCTGGGTTCGTATCCTGGCCGGGGAGGATTGACCGGGTGCCAATCCTTAACTGTAGCCTCTAAATAAATAATAAATAAATGTTTATTTAGGTAAGGTACATACATACAAGAGATTTTTACAAAGATTGGTGGACTTATAGATAGAGCTAGTACATACAATGACTAAAGCCACTATTACGCAAAGCGTTTCGGGAATACAAGGATTGGTGGACTTATAGATAGAGCTAGTACATACAATGCCTAAAGCCACTATTTCGCAAAGCGTTTCCATCCTGCTCTGTTCAGCCAGCAGTAAATGGGTACCTGTTTCTTGAACAATTCAACCCCACTTTAATATTCTGGGGAAAATTAGCATTAAGGACTTTCCTAAAACGTTATGCATTGCTAATGGCTTTACAAGAATGAAAGAACTCTTGTATATATGAAAAAAAAAAAAAAATTGGAGTAAATGGACATCACATTTTGGTTACTCAAGAATTGATCTATTAGCCAATTCTCTTGTCTGTATTAATCCATTTGAGCAAATTTTACTGCATATAATTACAGTACAGTATAGATAATCGTATCTAATCTTAATAATAATTCCAGATACAGTATTTATAGATTATGATTGGCTTTAGGTAGATGTATGAACTCTTAATTTTTGTGTGTTTCAAATTGTTTAGAAAAGAGTGGGTTATATTTATTATGAAGAATATATTTCTTTTCATTGCAGAATATAAAAACATTGGAGATTGAGAAACATTTCTTGATTGCCATCCTGCTGTTAAGCCGTATCTAGTTTAATGTTTGTATGTTTTCATTTCAGTGATGGCTATGGTTGAAGCAGTTGAGGTGATGGCAGGCAGGTTCAGAGGATGTATGGTTGGAGCACTGATGGGCGATTGTCTCGGTGCCCCATTTGAGGGAGAGTCTCGTGCTACACGCTCCATTCTCACTTCATATTTTAAAAGACTTAGTGATCCAGACCTTAAAGGTAATGAAACGCTCATTGTTATGGATGCCAAAAACAAAATAAAGTAATACGGTAACCTTTACCAAGGTAATGTATTTCTAAACATTTACCTTTCAAAATCTGTTTTTTGGTAAATTTCACATTATTGCAAGTATCATAAGAATGTAAAAATCATTAATGCCTGACTGAAGACATACAGCACAGTATTTCAAAACTATTTAAATGCACACTGCCATCTTCTAAAGGTGACTTCTCAAAGACTTCGACTTTGTCTTCCTTGGGTATTGGTTAGTGCTTAGCAGTAATGTAGTGTGTTAGCTGGGGGTCTTAATCTCTCCTGTCTTGTTGGCATTTAACATCAATAATTAAGCATCATTTTGCAAATTGTTTCATGAAATTTTGTCACCTCTGGCCTGCTCATACTTTTCCTGAACCTTCTTGGTCGTTTGGTCAGGTTTTGGATTTTGTTTTGTCTCCTTGCTTTTCTGCTGCCCCTTTAGGTTGGATAGTTTCATGCACTCCTTCTGAAGCTTAGAATTATTTCTTTGTCCCTGGTGAGCATTTTCTTCATCTGCAACGAATGAGATGGCTGACTTCTGGAGGGGTCTTTAGTTATCTTGGTTCATTTGGCCAGGAGTGCTTCATATGTTGTGTCCAGATAAGGCTGTCTGTTATTTACACACCATTCAGGGTACTCCAGGCAATGTGTTATTTGTTGACTGGTGTCTTAGATTCTTTGCACCATTATCCGTTTGTTTCAGGTCGTCCACAGTGCTGTTGACTTTATATGACGGATCCTGCATTCTACACTCAAGGCCACCCTGATGCCTGTGACATGTGTTGTTGAATCTTCATTTAAGCTGAACCCCTCTTTGAATGGACTGTGTATCAGAAAACTACTGCTTTACAGACCAGGTTTTCCTGAATTTGTAGGTTGAGGCTTAATGTTGAAGTAGTTGCCCTGGATTCGGCCCATTAGTCTTTTAATTAAAGACCCAGATTTGGAACAGTTAATGTTATGTATTCTTCTTTAATAATTGAGTGCATTGTTTTCATCTGGGTTACAAATCAAGCCAAGGAGTTACTAGTTTTGAAGCATTTTGAGGTGATCTCTGATTCCCAGGCTTTCCTTTGCCACTTTGAGCTGGGCAGATCAACCCGCTCTTGCACTTTCGTGGTTTCAGGTCCTGGTCCATGGTAGGCACTTGTCGGTCACAGAGTATAGTTCTCCCCAAGGCTTCTATGCTTCGAGGTTGTAGCATAGGAGTGCTACTGAGCAGCCCACCAGAAGGAGACATTTCATTATATTCAGTACTGTATTTTTTCATAATACCAACAAAAGACAAAGAACTGACTATATGCAGGGTGTCGAGGAAAGTACCCCATAGAAATCATGAGCTGACTCACGATTAGCAAGTGGCAAGAAGTGGTAAGGTCTTAGTATCCATACTATACTAGGTTTAGAAGTGGTGAGCTGTTATATTTACTCAAAATACAGTACAATATAATATATACTGAATATATATATTATGTTCATTTCAGTGCCATACAAGCAGTATACAGATGATACTGCAATGACAAGGTGTGTGGCCCAGTCCCTAATTGAAAAGAAAGGATATGATGCCACAGATATGGCTAAAAGGTAATTATTATTGAATATGTTAGTGATAGGTAAAACACAGATTTTTAAAGTAGGCATCACAGTAAAACACTGGCACTTTTTGTTAGCATTAATTTGTTTGCATTTTATATGGCAGCTACGTAGATACAGTATTCTTGTTACGCAACTAATCCGCAGTTGTTTCGAGTTCGTGTGTAATAACCATAGTTTTACTCTTATTGTATTATAGACTAAATTCAACTGTGGAGCTGACCTTAGGCTTTACTTTTAAGCTTGATAATACAGTATTAGCATAGTAGTAGGCCTTTGTGAAGCTGCTTTTTTAACAAAGTATATGGCACTGATTTTTGTTTTTGGCTGAATGCTTCAATAGCTCTCTTAACTTACACATTGGCTGTCATTGGCAAGAATTGGCCAACACTGATCATATTCTTTTGGCAGTGGAGTAATTTAAGAAAGTTTATATATTAATGAATAGCAAAGAAAACCGAGAGATTATATTTAAGATACTCTCCTTGATACAACCTTCAGGTTTGTAAAGGAGTTCTATGCAGAACCAAGACGAGGGTATGGCAGCAATGTTGTTGATGTATTTGCTGCCCTACGTGCCTCAAAGTTCAAAGACGTCTATGGTCCAGCAGCAATTCAGTTTAGTGGAAGAGGCTCGTATGGAAATGGAGGTAGAGTATGGTGTTAAATATTACTAATTTTAAATTAGATGTGAATATATTGTTGAAGTAATAATGATTTCGAGGAATATAATAAAGGTTTACCTTGCTACAAGAGAAAGTTTGATTCATCACATGCAGGTGTGTGTATCTTCCTGTGAGATTACTTCATAATGGTTTTTATTATGGTGTGGACTTTCCAAGTTAGAAAATGCTTCTGCTTTGAAAAGAGGCTTCTCTAGAGTGCTTTATATATTAAGTGTACTGTAGCTATGTGAACCTTGTCAAGAAATCTCAAGTATTTGTTTATCTTATAGATATTTATGTTTATTTTACAGGTATTTGTTACAAATTTGTTTGTTTTGAAAGTATATTTGATCAACAGGTGCTATGAGGGTTGCACCTATTGCTCTTTACTGCTATGCTACCAAAGGACAGGAGCTGGTAGATATAGCGCGAGACATGGCACTCATCACGCACTCTAACAGGCTTGGCTATAATGGTGCAGTTCTACAGGTTAGTTTTTCTTCCAGTTGATATATAGTTTGTTATGAGTGTAGCAGCATTTCCATCACTCTTTCTGGTATTTATTTCATTTATGACTAATTTATTTATATATTTACCAACATATCAAAGAATGATTTGCATTGAATTACTATTAATTATAATATTTTATTCTGTTTGGCTGGATGCTCCAATAGCTCTCTTAGTTTACACATTGGCTGTCATTGGTGAGAATTGGCCAACACTGATCATATTCCTTTGGTAGTGGAATAATTTAAGAAAGTTTATATATTAATGAATAGCAAAGAAAACCGAGAGATTATATTTAAGATGCCCTGTACTCTCCTTGACACAACCTTCAGGTTTGTAAAGGAGCTCTATGCAGAACCAAGATAAGGGTATGCCAGCAATGTTGTTGATGTATTACAACATTGCCACCTGATACAAGAATGATGTTTTCTAAGCTTACAGTATAGTAATTTAGTTATTGCTAATTCACTTAAGGGTCAAGTTTGACATTTTTTGTCTGGGAGGGCTTCTATAGTGCTTTCCTGTAGCTAACCACCTGAATAGTTTTACATATATAATGTTACACCAAGCCCTTGTGAGTTATAAAATCCTACTGGAGAACAGAAGCCAAAACCTGGTGCCCTCACAGAGAAAAATTAAACAAAATAGATAATAGCAAGATAAAATGTAAATACCTCTGAAAACTGGGCACACAATAGCTAGATTGTTCCCCATTTCCCCTCGACACCCAGGTAGTAGCACCTGCAGTCTTGAGCCTGGTGTGTCACGTTCTCTTCATGTCTCTCTTGCCTTCAGATTCCGGTTTTCTAAGTAAGTGTTGGCCATCCTTTGGAGTCTGTCCTGTGGAGGCCATTTTCTTTTGTTTGTTCCAATTTTTTAATTTGCTTCACATGTTTGAGTTTATATGCCTCACTTGTTATGCGACTTAGTTATTGTGCACCTTGAGTTGCAGGAGTTGAAAGTTACCTTCCCGAAGCACTTGCTGGTGTTGCCACTTCCCAGCCAGGGTTGCCTTCCCTGGTGGATTCAGGTATCCGTCCCCGAGATGCTTGCCTGTAGGGCTCTGAGGTGGGGGCAATTGGGGTTCTCTTACTTGATGGTGCACATGGATTCACTTGCTCACTGTGCTGCTCTTGGCCTTCTCAGTTGTCTTTGTCACTATAGCTGTCTTCGGTGTGAGCTGGTGAGCGGCCCCCTGCACTTGATGTCCCAGTTATGTTTTCACCATCTGGTATGGAAAGCCCCAGCACATCCCTGGTGCATTTCTGCTATGGACTGATCCACTGAACCTGCTGTTGCTGGGTGTCGAGTTTGAAGGATATTACCGTTTTGCTTCATGCCAATGGTCATTCTCTCTGCCATGCTGCCTGTTGGGTGGACTGTTGTTTTTGATCTAAGACCTGAAATGTGTGTTGTCTTTAGCTCTATTTTGGCTAAGCTCCAATTTTGGGTTGGCTTATCAGGTGTTTGCTGATGGGCAGGATAAGTTTCTCAAGCTGGTTTCTTCATAGTACAGTATCAATGCCTGATATATGTTTAGTAACTTTTATGTGCTAAATACCATTTTATCAACTTTTTACCTCGGATTCCAAATTTGATTTGCATTCTTCATGATCATGCTTTCTTTAAACAGTGCCTCGCTGTGTATGAAGCTCTCTGCACCCCTGAGAATAAGCTGGATTCTGTGAAGTACATTGAAAATCTCATAACAAAAATGAAGGAGATTGAAACACCTACAGATGATGAGTATGTCACTAGCATAATTAGTTATTTATATTAACACTCCATATCTTTGCTTGCACAGTACTTTATTACCACAACTTATCATTTTGCCCAGTTTGATATATAATTTTCAAAGGATTCATCAAATGCTATCAGGCATCACCCTTGTAGTAGTAAGAGATAAACATGGGCTTCATAATTATCAAATCCACGGTCAGATTGGTCAAGATGCATTCAACACTGAATGATTACTTTATAAAGGATGGGAACAAAACATCATTCTAAGGTTATGATTTTAACAATTTATGGTAGATTCCCTCAATTTCATTTTGATTTCAAATATTGCCTCCTCCTTTCTCCCTCTTGGTCTGTGATTAAATATTTTGCAATTTCAGATGTAGAGACCTGATGGAGTAATTATAGGCTGAGGAGACTGTCATTTTCTTGCAATTTAAGTAACAGAGGCTAGGGCTGCCATTTTATTTTTACATGAAATTTACCTGTGATCTATCTACCATGTAAGATTCTTTACCACCTCCATGTGGAGACAGATTCCTCAACATCAGGTGGCAGGACAAAATCCCAGACATGGAGGTCCTGGAAAGGGCTGATATTCCCAACATCTACATCCTCCTACAGAAAACCAAACCTGTCCATATGGCATGGCCTGCCATGCTGTCGGAATGCCTGACAGCCAATTGCCAAAACATGCTGTATGGAGAATTATGTCAGCACATGTTCAGTGGGGACAGAAGAAACAATTCAAGGCCTGCCTCAAGGTGACCCTCAAAGACCTGGATATCAACCTCAATACATGGGAGTCATTTGCTCAAACCCATCCAACTTGGAAAGCAAAGTCATCACAGGGGCCCGTGCAGCAGAGAATAGATGGACTGCAGAGGCCCACAGGAAATGCACCGCACACAAAGCTAGAGCAACCTCCACCTTTACAGTAGTACCCATCTACATATGTCCTGTGTGTGGGCAAGCCATCTGGATGCAGATTGGTCTCATCCTCCATCTCACACACTCACCTTTGACCTGATATATTGAAGACATGGTCATCTTCAACTATGAAGGATGAACATCAAGAGATTTTTGAGAGTTCTTTTATTCCCACTCTCCATGTTTCTGATTAAATAATCACAGATACTGCAAAAGTGCTATGCACTGTATGCAAAGATAGAACTAACGTTTGCAGTTAGGCATCTCTATGACCATCACACCAGGTAAGAGAGGTTTGAGTAGTGTGTGATTGGTAGTCTTGGCTAGGATGGGCAAAAAGTAAGGACACGAAACCTCCACTGACCTATTTGCAAGGTACAGTAGTGCTATCATCTAGTGGAAGTCAATGTAGTTGGGTTTGTGTATTTAGGTGTTTACAAACAATACTTGGTGATTTTTTTAATGGTCAAGGACTGTTTGGAAGGAGTACAGTATGAGTAATTTGAATTGTTTCTGGCAAGCAGACACCTTGAGGAGAATTAAAGTGTGCTTTCCAATAAACTCCCTGCCCCTTAAAAACAGGTGGGGGGGGGGGGGGGGACAAGATAGTTTTTAGTGGCACTTGTCTCTGGGGCATAATGTCACTTAACGTCTGGCACAAGATCTGTGTCCCACAAAGGTTAACGATAGACACAGGAGAGGTACCAAGTTGCCATTCGGAAAGGGGCCATTTAGTTTCATTAAACACTTGATTTTAATTTGTTAATAAAATACCTAATGTTGTGCATAAAACCTGCATATGCAGTAGTATTTATCTCATTAGTTGAAGCATTTAAGTTTGTGGTTTATAAATGAAGTATTTCTCTCAGTATCACAGATGAGGGAGAAGAGCCTTATGTTTATGTGAAGAGGCTTGAAAAAGTATTGGAATTAATGGAGCATGGGGACTCTGTCAGCCGAGAACGAGTTGAAGATGAATTGGGAGTTTATATTTCTGCCCACATGTCTGTTCCAACTGCCATCTATTCATTTGTAAGAGCAACAACTCCTATTGCTGAAATTGAGGTATGTAAAAATAAAATATTTTTGTTATAAAAACTATGGGAGGGGATCTGATTAGAGTAATTTCATAATGGGGATTTGTAGGACAAAACTATACAGTAATAATTTGTTCGTGAATTTTCATAATTTTTCACAAGAATAAAACTCATCTCTTGTTTTTTCATATTCCAGACTGAAAATGAGTTCCAGAGGACACTGCAGTTTGCTGTAAGTTTAGGTGGGGACACAGATACAATAGCATCTATGGCTGGAAGCATTGCAGGTTAGTTTTTCTTAGTAATTATATGTAGACAGTATGTAGAATAAAATGCAACTTGTGTATTTTTTGTTGAAAATCATCACTAACAATACTGTCCAAGAGGTATTACGGTGGTTGCTTTGTTTCCCATTGGAAGCAAAAACCTTTCATAGTGGTCTGCCACTATTATTTTTGCAGCTATTGCAGTTGCTGACTATACAGTGATCCAAATGAATGCTACTGATTTTTTTAAAGATTTAATCAGCTGGTACAGTTCCACAGCATCACTACCACCTCAGTTTTACAATACAACCACCATTGCTACAAACATCACAGCCACAACAACTATATACACACCCTTACAATCACAGTCACCACTAAACCACTACAGCTGCCAACAAATATAGCTATAACCATAGGCAGTGGAGGAATATAAAGAGTTTATGTAAATTTTTATAACAGCATCCCCCGGATTTTGAATAAGACCTTATGTGCTCGCTGTAATCCCTTTGTGATACCACTTACAGGATGAATATGGAGTGCATAGTAACTTCCTCCTACAGGATGAGCATGATGTACAACAATTAACTACTTACAGAATGAGCATAGGGTGCACAGTAAACTACCAATTCATAGGATGCGTATAGGGTGCATAATAAAGCAGCCACTCTCAGTATTGTGCTAACCACTCCACCAGTATTTGTATTTAAGACATGCAACTCCAGAGTAATCAATTTATATTGAAGTTATTATGTTGAATTAAAATTTTGCTACAATTAATAAACTTACCTTATCTGTAACATTAAGTATCTGCCTAAAATGCTATGCATGTTAAATAAATAAAAAAATATCCTTGGAAGAGCAAGGATTATTTAATCAGCAACAAACTTATGCCACTGTCGATCTCAGTCAGGAGAGAATATTTCTTGAAGCAGAAATTAAACAAAAAATATAAAAATATTGTAAGAGATAATTTGTGCAACTACTGCACTGTAATGTAAAAATTGAATTCCAGGTGCGTACTATGGGATCAGCAAGATCTCGGCCAACCTTCAGAGGCATTGTGAAGCTCTGTCAGATGCAGTACGACAAGCGGATGATATTTTCAGTCTTTGTGGCTCTTAAGCTACCAGCTTTATGAATTTAATTGCCAGTATTATGAGTAGTATGTTATGGAATTCAGCATTTTTTCTTTCTGTATGATATTTTCCAAAGCTGAATTCTAGATATGTTATTAATGACTTATTTTAAATGACTATACTGTGCCAATGCAGATTTTAGTGCATTTTATTATATTGGGTACAGTATTCATGTGACAAATGTACTGTTAAAGTTTTTGTTATTCACTCCACATTTACAAAGGTCATGATGGTAATTTCTTCAGGATTTTAGTTTTTCATCAACATTGATCTTAGTCAAATCTTTAAAATTTGTGTTCCTTAATTGTAGGATGCAACTATTTTTGTAGTATTTTAAGTACAGTATGTGTATTTCAGATATTAATGTTTGTACAAAAATTAAACAAATACTGTACTGAATTGTAATTTAATTGAATATTGAGTATAGTTAATTTTCATTTGTTTTTTGTTTAATATTTACTTAATGACACTAATTAGTCAAACTCGTGCCTTGGTTCCTCCGAGACATTGTCGGTGGTCATAAATAGACTCGTCTCTTCCTGTTTAGTGACTACAGTAATAGTTTTTTTTACTTGTTTAAAAGTTCTATAAGACCATACAATTAAATCACAATTATTGAAGACTATCACCCCTTGACCCTCAAGTGTGAAAGCTCCCATTTACATAGTGCTGTCAACTGTTAAAATCAAAGCAATCCTGTACTTGCAACATATAGAATTATCATGTCAGATGATAGAATCATCTGTTATGAAATGAAATAAAACTTTGGCAAAAAACTAATTTACTGTATAAAATTATAATTTGTTTTCCCTATATGCTGTATTTAGAGTAAGATACGACCTATTTCAACCACTGTTTTGGAAATAAGCTTGATGTAGATTTTAGTCAGAGGAGTTTCTAATCTACTGTACATCCCCATTCTCAATCATGTGAGTAATGTGTAAGGATAACTGTCACAAAATGTCTTGACACTTTGCGCGGCCCGGTGCGCGTGCCCCATCCCACGCCAGGGTGGGCCCGGTGTTTCCCGGGAAAGCACACCCACAGTAAAATATGAATACTCTTTCCAGTGTTCTGACCTCGATTTCCAGGCTACGTCGTTCATTTTGGTATCAAATTGTTCACAATCTCAAGGCGCGTATTTTAAAACTAGTCTAATAATAATCGAACGATAAATGGAATTTTTAATAAATATTTTAATTTAGGACATCACCACACAAGTATTTATAATCTCTCCAGTGTTCTGACCTCAATTGTCGGTCGCACTACATTGTTTGTTTTGGCATCACATTGTTCACAATCTAAAGGTGTGCATTTTAAAACTAGCCCCATAATAATCGAACAATAGATGTAATTTTAACATTTTAATATTGGACGCAAAATGTGTGTCTGCCGTACATGTGTACAGTTAATTATGGACATCATCCATTGCCGCGAGATGAAAGCACCCTAAATGGTGCTTAAAATTTAATAATTCGGGTTCTTTCTTGCTTGGCATTATAATCCCTTCTAAAGAAAGGTCATGTAGAACAAATCTGTATCAAGGAAAAGTAAATAATTAACAAAAGACAGTACCAAGCCAGGAAGACTAATAACATTATTAAGGAAAAAATAAAGATTTTAAATTTTAGGGCGAGTGATAGGCAGAATTCTATAGTACAGTGGTACCTTCATTTACGAATTTAATTCATTCCTAGAGACGGTTCGACAACCGAATATTTGAAAACCGAAACATTTTCCTGTAAGAATGTAAATTGAATTAATCTGTTCCACACCCAAAAATATTAACTTAAAAATACATTTTATATATAATACTACTCATACTTATACATACTGTAGTACAAAATATATCTTACCTTTATTGAGGACTCGTTGGCATATGGAAGACGGTGAGGAGGAGAGGTGTTAGTGTTTGGAAGGTCAAACAATCATCAATGGAAACATGATAGTTTCCATTGATGATTGGTTTACCTGGTGTACTTCAACCATACAGTCATAAAAACCATATGAACATCATTGGTATACTATGTAATTATGATGGAATTTTATACAATGACAGCATTCACCTAATAACATTCACATAGTAACGTAACCATAAAATGATTGGATTTTTCATTGTCATATAACGATAACCGCGTTACCCTGTGAATCAACATATAACAATAACTACTATCTAAGTGTTAAATACTTTGAAAGACTGATGTGACTTGTAAGTGTACTCACCTAGTTGTGCTTGTGGGGGTTGAGCTTCAGCTCTTTGGTTGCACCTCTCAACTGTCAATCGACTGGTAATTATCTAAGTGTAGTTTCAGGATGAGATCTACGCTCGTGGTGTCCCGTCTTCCCAATACTCTTTGTCGTATAACACTTTGAAACTGTCAGCTTTGGCCTCGACTACCATCTCATTTAGCTTGCTCCAATCATCTTGTTCAACTGCAGACCACTCAAAGCAACAGCCTGGTGGAGCAAACTCTCTCAAGTCAAGCCTGGCTCGGGGAGACGAACGCCCAGAACCCCATCAAGCAGGTATTTACCACTCTGTTTATAGAAGAAAACTTTTTAATATTGTTTTGGCATCTTTGTTTCCTTAGCTTGAATCTATGTCCTCTTGTTTGTGAAGTTGCTGGTTTCAGTAATTCCTTTATCAATTTGCTCGATTCCTGTTAGTATTTTGTAAGTAGTGATCATATCTCTTCTATCTTCTAGTTTTGGCATGTTTAATGCCTCCAGTCTCTCCTTGTAACTCTTTGTTTTTCAGTTCTAGAAGCCATTTTGTAGCATGCTGTTGCACCTTTTCCAGTTTGTGCTTCTTGAGATTTGGGCACCATTACAACTGCTGCATATTCCCATTTTTGTCTCACAAAAGTCATGCATAGTCTCTTTAGTATTTCACCATCCATGTAATTAAAAGCAAGTCTGATGTTGTAAAGCAACACATACACCTCTCTCACAATGTTGAGTGTGTGTTCCTTTGGCGACAGCTTACTATCCAAAATCCAAAAAATACACTATCAGGAATTGGTGTACCAATTCCTGAGCCTATTGGGCTCTATCATATCAAGATTTGAAAAATGTGTATAAACTCTGCCTCCACCACATCTGCGATAACTCCAGTGTGGAGTTACCTCAGTGCTGCTAGCTACAGGGAGCCACCGATGACCTTCCCCCCCAGAAAGAGTCATTTCATTAATTTTAACACTTTTTTCTTTTTTAATAATTTTCAGGATGTTTCAGATTAACTAAAATCCAATTTAGACACAAAGTGAGGTGGGAAATGCTTTGCTTCATACCTAGATTGGTTAATGTGTTGTTAAGTCACATTGCCTATATAGTTGTTTTAAATTCTTATGTTATATTGTTCATTTTCCAGTCACACTATTATCCATAACATTTTCACACTTATTGTAGCCTACCTTTGGCCATGTCCACTTCTGTAGAATATGTTTTGCATTTATATGTATTATTACAGTATTAAGTTAAATTCTGCATTCGGTATTTGTTTCCTGTGTCTCTAAGCTAGTCATATTGTGTATGCTCAACTTTTAATAAAATAATGCAAGGTCAATAAAACACAGGCTCAAGCAAAGTCAATTATTGGTAATTCCATAGGTTCCTACAGACTATAGCAACCCAAGCAGTTACTGTAAGCATATGAAGATGCACGTCTTGAGTACAAGTACAGAATAGGAGTGGCTTGTACTCTTGCTTACTTAAACATATGCCTCTTAATGTGTGGTGGCAAGCATCTGGGCCAATGTTGATCAACAGTTGAGGGGAAGCATCAGAGCCAATGTTGAGACACATTACACATAATTCAAACATATTACTGTGGGAAAAATATTAAGGTCCATCATGGATATAGTGCAGTGATTTTAGTGGGAAGAAATAATTGGTCCAAACCCTTACCACAAAATAATTTTGTAAAACGAGCACAGCAAAAGGATACCTATAATAAAAAAAAAATTGATAATTACGATAGCGATGCTTTTACATGTCAAACACTTGAATACACAAAACTTTGCACCCCTTCCCACATAATATACTAAAAGCAACAGCTGTTGTTGATATATATATATATAATATACATATAATAATATCTATATATATATATTTATATATATGTATATACTGTATATTTATATATTTATGTATGTATGTATGTCCTAAGAAATTAACACCTGATAATGTGAAAATATTTAAGCAGGAAGAAAAATTAAACTAGAAATGACGAGCACTTTTGTGTTAACACATTTTCAAAGGTACAATCAGTGAAATACAACAGGTAAATAAGTTCGTGTGTGAGGTGTAAATCAATGTCTTAGTAATATTAGTTCATGAACATAAGAACAATTGGTTCTTATGTTCATGAACCAATATTACAAAAACATTGTTTTACACCTCACACACAAACTTATTTAGCTGTTGTATTTCACTGATTGTACCTTCAAAAATGTTTTAACATGAAAGCACAAGTTATTTTGTTTTATTTGCCTTCATGGATATATATATTATATATTGTATGTTATTATATATATATATATATATATATATATATATATATATATATATATATATATATATATATATATATATATATATATATATATATATATATATATATATATATATATAATATATACTCATATATACATACATACACAACATACACACGTGTATACATATACAAATACACATACATACATACATGTGAGCATTTGTCCCTGGGTTTTTTAAGAAACTGATGACAGAGGTCTGATTATGAGATCTTAGTCTCATTGTATTCTGGAAGCCTTTTTAATCTTCTTATAAGTATTAACACTGGGTTGCCATTCCTCAAAAATACTGTAATATAATATAATATGTAATAATAAAATAATATAAATAATGAAATGATGGTAGGAGGAAAAAAAATATACTTTGGAAATTCATCTTCTATTATTTGCTTTGCTAGATACCGTACAATGAAGAGGGAATTTTGTCGATGAAATAGCACATTACATTAAATATTTTTATTGACAAATCAGAAACACACAAGTTGTTGCGTTGGTTATCAATTGACACTTTTCACTAAGGTGGAATTTCCGTAACGTTTGTTTCACATATTTTAGCCATGGAATGGGAACCCATCAATTGATTCCTTTTGTATTGTCTTAATATACTTTCATATTCACAGTTGTGTATGGAAATAATAACTGAAGAATTTAACAGCTTTTTTTTTTATCTTCATATTGTTCTTTTAACATCTGACACTTCACCAGGAAGGGGTAAATGACATAGCAGCCAGACTAAATTCAAAAAATATAACATGACAACAATGTTATAAAAACATGTAAATAGTGTTACATACGACAGTCACAAAAATATATTGAATGTGATACGTACTGATAAAGCCACTGAATAGAACTAATTGCAAGAGTAGAAGAATTTAGGTATTGTTGAAGTAGTATACATTCTTAAGAAATTACAGGTCTTATTTACATAATGAAGCAACTTAAAACTAGTCATCATTAGCTTGTCGTACAGGTCTTCATAAACTTGCAGTACTAAACAAGAAGGAAAGTTAAAAGGTTAGTGTAACTGGGAGCCAAAAGTGTGGCATTAAGGCTGGTGGTCCGAGTCTCATTCCTTTACCCTCATGTGGCATCTTCAGGCATTTTACATCATATCAGTTCCTTTCACATTCTAGTCTGGTATTAATGACACAGTTGATCACAATGTGTGTGAAGATGTAGTTTAAGTGCCAGTACTAAAAAAATAAGTGTGTGTGTGTGTTTTATCGTTTGTAATGTACGAGAACATTTGGAAAGTATGAAAATAAAGAAAATGGAGCAACTCACCTGCTGCTCACCTGCTCGGCAGGTGCCAAAAAGATGGAAATCGTAGATGCAACCAAGGTAAGAGTTTCGTGAGTGACCACAACCAATTGGTCTTTAAGTAAAATACCTGACCATGCCACATTGTACCATCACCCTTGCTTTGCCCATGTTAATAATGTAGTACTATTAACAATTGTCCTTATGTTAAGTGATACATTAAAGGAGGGAAAGCAGGTAACAAACATGCAAAATATTGTGAGTATTGTTCACAGCTGAGGAATTCCAGTTTTTGGCACCAAGAATCAAACAGTTCGTAACACTCATTAGTAAGAGTAGCTGCCCAGAGTTCAACTACAAGAAGACAAACTTCCTAAAAGCATAGAACATGAGCCTTATAATTTGCCTCAATCTGAACTCTCTTATTATTGCCCAAATAATTCTTACACTTGGAATAACCTCCCAGTGAACATTGTCCACAAGGGTTAAACTGACAAACCACATAAGATAAATTATATAAACATTGTGCTTGTTGAACTTGCAATTGCACTATGAATTGTAAAGGTGCATTCTGTGCAGGCTAAAAAAAAAAAGTTGCACTATAAGAAATTAATAAAAATTTTACATACACTCCATTTTAACAAAGTAGTACATGCCAAGGCTTAACGAAGGCCTATTCTGTAACAAGGGACTGGTTTGTAATGATAAGAAGGCTTTGATGAAATGTGATCAATTTGTAATGAATGCCAAGTTTACAACATTGGAAAATGACAACCACACACCAGACGATGAAGAGACAACTTCATCGTCTGGTTTCATCGTTTCATCACTTCATCGTTTCTTCATCTTCTGGTGTGTGGTTTGGTCGTCGTATCTTCAGCCACGTTATTGTGACTTATCGTCAATATTGGTAGATCCAAGATTTCAAGAATAATAGGACTAATTGAAGTTTAAGAACATCCCTCTTAATCACATTAGGCAAAATTAATCTACATAAAAGAACATTTATGCTGTCGAGCTACCTTTAAAATCATTTCACACCATATTTAAAATTTAACTAGAAAATGTGTGTTGCAGTTTTTAAAATGGTAAATATCAGATTCTTTTAAAAAGATGTTTATAAACACCGGTCCATTAAAAAAATAAACAGTACATAGATCTACCATAAAAAAAGTGAGAATGAAAAATAAGAATGCAGTACATGCAAAACGTCAACAAATGATGTAAAAAATTAATATGAAGATACAGTGGGTAATATTAAGAAAATATAGTTAACATATACTATTATGAGAGTCAAGAAAGTAACTGTTATATCTTACAACTGTTAAAAATAAGCAATAAATGTATTTACATATTCTGTACAAATATAATTATACTTCATGAAGACCTGCTTGACTTAGTAACGATCAGATCAAGCATACAAGGGGGAAAGAGTACAGAAACTTTATATAAACATACAAGCAAGTTTGTACAACTTGCAAGAAAACCCATAAAATAAATGTATCATCGAGTGTAAATTATAATAAATTGTTTTTGGATATACTGACCTGCAGAAAGTGTAAGGAAACATTTTACAATTCTTTAACTGATTATAAAATAAAAAAACTTTAATGAATATGCCATTGGTCCTCTTGTGTGGAGGTTTTGAAATTCATTGAACTCATAATAAATATTATAATTATTAAACTATAAAAACAAAATACAGCAGCATAAAGTTAATTTTCATATAGAGAAAACAGGTATAGTACCACATGTGTTATATTACTATGCAAAGAGGATACCAATGCCCATCTGTGATAACCCAACCTTAATTATCTAAGACTTTCATAATATCAACATGATGACAATAAAGGTCACTTTCAGCACAGATGAATGAACTGAACACGCAACACTTTCTGGCTGGTATATCTTTACAACTTCACAACTCTTTCTTGACATTAATACTAATGATACTATCTTTTATATAAAAAAGCTAAAATATAAAATATATGTCATTCAGAAAAGACCCTGGCAGTTGGGACAACCATTTATTTAGCTGCTGCAATAATACACAGTTGTAATAACAGATGACCCTCCGTCCTCCATAATCCCCACCCCTGACTGACATGATGTGATCAGCAATACAGAATTAATAAGACACTATAATCTCATTATTTTTGTCTTTCACTTTGATGGAACACAAAAAGTTCTTCACGGTAATACAAAAATAGGTAAAGCTTTGCTAATAAAAAAAAAGAAGGAATAAAGAAATGCCTTAACACCTTAAAAGCTGAGAGAGAAGTGTTCTCTACCTGATGATCACGAAGGAACACACTACCCCCTTAAACCATACAATTTAAGAACCTTCTTATTTAAAATAACATAAGCTAGCAAAGCCTTCCTAACGCACCCTTAAGTAGGACTCTGACTCCCGCTAAGGATCACAACCACTGATCGCACCACATATGAAGCTCTAGCACGCACTATTTACAAACAGGTTAAAACTTGTAATTTACAACCGAGTGAAACTCAAGCTTATATTCCATTTATATAATATACCTTGCAGATTTGATTGAATTTGAATAAGTTTATGGATGTGACAAAATTTGGCATGTTATGCTTGAGGAACTTCAATAAGTCTTATCATATTTACATAGTAACAAAAAGAATTTATGTGACAGTTTTTCTAAAAGCAAAACTCCTTAATGATCTCGGGTATGGAAGATCACTGCCCAACATAAGCACCAAAAACAAGCAATAGCGAGACTTCAACACATAATAAATTCTAAGAACCATTAATAGTCTGGATCTAATGGAATAAAAGAGACTAGAAGATGTCAAACTGGGAGACGTAACAAGCATCAGTGTGGACAAACAACCATATAGCGCTCAATCCATACATAACTAAAATGCACCCAGACTCTACTATCTTTTGACCCAACATAAGCCATCAACATTTAAAATATTGCTTAAAAAATATTTTGATAAATATCTATAATAGATTATGAACCTATCTGGACAAAATTTTGCTAGCGTGGTGTACAAAAATTGCTATTAATTTCAACCTAACTGAAGATCCTATTAATATTATAAAATACTACACATATATCTGCTATAAATATATGTTTATGGAATTGATCAAAGCACCTTCGTTTGGATCATTCTCAAATTTGATCTGGAGAATTTCACAGAAATTGATTGTAGATAATTGCTATACTTCCCAAAACTGATAAGGATGGAATTAAGTAGCTCTCACATATACATTATTGAGGGCAAGTGGATTCTGAAGTTAGCTTGTAGACTTTGAAACAGTATTCCTATATAATAATTATCTTGACGTGTTAATATAAACACAAAAGAAAATTTGTGTTAGTTCCAATTAATAATTCAATATTAAAAGGACCATTATTACTTTTGAAACAATTTATATGGATGAGTAAGCTGATAGTCTAAGTGGGTGACTACATTTCCCATATATTAATGAAAATATAAAAATAATTAATTTTTAAAAAAACTTGGAACGCCTCTTTAAATCATTTCTCCTCCATTCAGGAAGGCGATAAAAGTCCATACGAGTCATGTGGAACACCATTTCAAAATCAGTATCAGATAGGTGACGCTGAAAAAAAGGAACAAATATCTCTGGTTAAATGAGCAAAGACTTCAATAAAGCCTTATGAAATTACCACATCTAAAGAATAAAGTTAAACAAATAGTAAACACCCATTTTATTTACAAATAAAGGTTACACTGGAATATTTTCAGCATCCTTATCATTGTTATCTTTTTTCCATGGAAATGAAGTGAGATGGCAATAGCCCAGATAAAGTACTTAAAGTAATAAAAACGCCACCTTCTGGGCGACTCGGTAGCTTCCCAATGCTTAATGCTTTGGTACGACAGACCTCAAAATGGTACCAGAACTTAAGTGGCCATCAAAGGCCTACAGGGAACCAGAAACCAAAACTTTGTCCCTCACAGAGACAGAGAGAGCAATGGATTCTATTCCAGATCAACCTCGCCAAGAAATCAGCCACAAGAAAGGCAGAGAAACAAGAAGGAAAATCTAAACAACTCTGCAAATGAGGCACCCATTAGTTTACTTCACCCACTAGTAGTAGTTGCCACCACCAGGTGGCAGCACCAGGAGCTCTAGGATCAGCTGCTGCACTTAGTCATGAGCCAAACAGTAAACAAGCCGACACACCTCAAAATTATGAGGGGGTGGGGGGGGTTCCAGGGATCCACCGAGGATCCACCAGAAAGGAGTGTTGCATTACAGTCAAAGCTTGTTTTCTGAAGGAGATACCAACTCCCTGTTGTTATCACACCACAAAAAAAAAAAAAAAAAAAAAAAAAAAAAAAAAAAAACAGAAGAACACACCAGGGGTGAAGGAAAGCAGAAGCCAGGAACCCCAAAAGCAGAGGAGCACTGGGCACTGAAAACCTAGCAGAAAAAGGCGCAGAACACTTGAAGAGTGCCTGCCAGAGGGAAGCCTATTGGCTGGCTGAGCAGTAGGGCCTAGCAGAACAAAACTAAACAAGCCTGGTACAAGGGACCAGGGTCAGAAAACTACCTGCCAACAAATAGCTTCAGCCCAGAAGCACCAGGAGCAGCAGCCAAACTAGAGGGGAACGCACAGGAAGCCACATCGAGACCAGGCCAGCCAAACGGCAAACAACCCAAAAGCCACATGGCAAAGTAACAGGGCTATGAAGGACAGAAGCCACCAAGACCAAGCTGACAAGCAGCAGCCTAGCAGAGGACAGCTGAACAACACAAAACCAGCTGTAAGGAGTGGCAACAAATGCCCACCTCAGGGTAACAAGACACAGAAGACCCAAGCATCATGAAGTTAAAAAAACAAACTGTGCCAGCTGCCATGGCACAGCATGATCAAGGGGGGCAAATTGCAAGACAAGGCACCACCAGATGCCTACCCCAACAGGAAAAGACAAGGACCCTAGAAGACCACCCCCTAAAAAATAGGGACAGAACCCAGCGACAAAACATTGTGGACAAGTTACAAACACAATGAAACTGCTACTGAGAAAGCAGAAAAACACAGCCACTGCCTGAAAATAGGAGTGGACAAGAGGGGAGGCAGACACCAGAGAATAATCAAGCCAAATTCTAAACATAGATGAGGACAGCTCACTAGCAAGCCAACTAAGCCACAGGCCTGACCACAGAATGAGAGGCAAGAACTGAGCAGTCGAAGGAAACACTTAAATAGGACCTACAATGTGATACAATATGTAAATCTGTTCCTGGCACAGCACAAAGGATGCATTTTGCAACCCACTCCTTTGCTGCCCTTTTTTTCTGAAAATATCACCCAGGAATAGATTTAACAATGGCACTGAAGATCAAATTGCCCTTTGACATTAACTGTTGGTCTTTGTACACAATATCAAATGGTAATCAATTACAAAATAGTAGCAGAATTTTGTCATGGGTCTTGGTTCACTCCATTACATCCATATATCATTATTATAAAAATAAGATAACTAAAATTAGAAAAAGATAACTGCTCTATCACAAGAGATCAACAAATAATGATGTCCAGCATATTGAGGATTAGGAACACTGTTTTTTGTTTTTTGTTTTGTTTTGTTTTAACTGACTTTTCAAAAAGTTTTCTTAATTTTGAGTTGATATCTGATTCCCATGATCCCCTAGCCTCAATTACCAAACCAAATACTGATCCTGGTAGACTAGGTCCATGGTCCTTATGGTGTGTGGAAATCTTATTAGAAACCAGGGGGCCAGATTCACTAAGCAGTTATGCAAGCACTTACAAACCTGTACATCTTTTTTTACAATTGTTAAAAAGTTAATGAGCTTCAAAGCACCAGGAGGCTGCTTATAACAATAACAGTTGATTGGGTAGTTTTCATGCTTGTAAACTGTTTAATAAATGTAACCAAAGCCATCAAAGATTGAGGAAAGATGTACACGTTCATAAGTACTTGCGTAACTGCTTCGTGAATCTGGCCCCAGACAAAGCAGTTGGGAAGCTACTGAGGCGGCTTGCCTAGAAAGACTAGGAATATAATAAATGAAGGTCATAACACTTTTAAAAAGATTCCTAGGACATACTGTATAGAACACTAACCTCCAAATGACAGCGATCCACATCATTGGGCAGGCGATAGTTAGTTACTAGTAAGAGGTGTGCAGGGTAAATCTTAGGGGGTTCAGAGGACATATGATGCATGTTGGGCAGTGAGCGACGAAGGTGGGGAGAGTAGGAGGAGTAACCACGCAGGCCACTACTGTACGTTGCTGATGCACACAGCTCGGCGTTCTGTGAAAAACTTGCATGAAATAATGTTCCCAAAACTGGTCAAGCAATAGTAGATATACTCACGATTACACACTAATAACAAGCATCTGTGTACACATTGTGAACAGATGTATGCCATTGCTATTTGTGATCTTTTGTATATCTGCCTTGCTAGCCACTCAAAAAATCTTACAAGAAAGTAAAGTATATTTCTAGGAAATGTAAATATTAAGTACATACAGATTCACATCTATTATACTTCAAAACTGAATAATGAGACCTACTAGTAACTAAGACAACATACAAATTCAACTTGGATTACAGGAATTACTTTGACAAGTACTAACATCTACAGCCAATTTTTTTTATCTTAAAATAATTTACCAAACTTCTCAATGTAATAAAAGCTCCTTTTTTTATTTCCTAGAAATAATTGTGTTGGGAGGACTTGCTTCATTCCATACATGTCTTGCTTCTATAAACATTAAAATCTTACTGCAGTGGAGAGCTCGTATCTACCAGTAGATTATGTCACCTTTCACTACATTCCCCACAGGGTAGTGCATATAGAATATTTCCCAGTATATCAAGTCAATTATCTTAACATATACATCAATTATCTTAACATATACAAATGTTATTTAATGAATAATCCCAGTAAAAAATGTTTTTATTAAAAAAAATGTTGGTTCGGTCATTAAATAATGTTGGTAGCTACCATTTTTTTTTGCTTTAAGAATTAAGAATATAGTTTTTAATGTAAAAGAAACATCCCTTCTGGTGGACTAACTAGCTCCTTGATGCTATTACCTGTACCAGGGGCCAGATTCACGAAGCAGTTACGCAAGCACTTACGAACCTGTACATCTTTTCTCAATCTTTGGCAGTTTTGTTTCCAATTATTAAACAGTTAATGAGCTCCGAAGCACCAGGAGGCTGTTTATAACAATAACAGTTGATTGGGAAGTTTTCGTACTTGTAAACTGTTTAATAAATGTAACCAATGCCGTCAAAGATTGAGGAAAGACGTACACGTCTGTAAGTGCTTGCGTAACTGCTTCGTGAATCTGGCCCCAGAATCTGAGATCAAAGATTCACCACAAAACCAAGGGAAAATCACCCCAGAAAGATACAGCACTCCAGAACACGCACCTATTTGGGAATATTTGTTCCCCTACAGCCAAGCTGTACAAGACTACTGCACCATTCCTGTCTCTCAGATATGCCCTGTTCCGATATCTGAGCCAGGGTTTCTGGAAGCCAAACCAAACCATTGCCACTTGTTATCTGCCAAACTGCCCGATTTCTGGAGCAGACCTCTCTCCTCGGGTTGTTTCATCTGTTTGTCCTAACTACTTCCAGATGCTTCTAGGGCAAGGTCCCTATTTATTTTTTGAAGGGTTTGAAAAGTTTTGTACTATGTGCATATAGCTCTGGAAAATAACTTGCTCAAATATAGTACATATCCAGCAAAATTAAAAAAAATTTGAGTGGCGTCTTGGCACCAGGGAGCCGGTCGGCCGAGTGGACAGCACACTGGACTTGTGATCCTGTACCCCGGGTTTGATCCCGGGCGCCGGCGAGAAACAATGGGCAGAGTTTCTTTCACCCTATGCCCCTGTTACCTAGCAGTAAAACAGGTACCTGGGTGTTAGTCAGCTGTCACGGGCTGCTTCTTGGGGGTGGAGGCCTGGTCGAAGACCGAGTTGCGGGGACACTAAAGCCCCGAAATCATCAAGATAACCTCCCCTTTCCCACCCTTTCCTTCCAATTTCACTGGAGTTTGTACACAAAGGAACTAAGGTGGGACTTAACACCTCTTCCAGTTTAGTGTTATTACTAACTAGCATTGTCACCTGGTGGTGGACAATGTAAAAGTGTTATTAATTTTGAAATTTCAAGGTTTGGTTTCATAATTTTGGGTCGATCTCTGATCCCCAAGCTCCACTCTTATCAGAGCCAGACTCTGGTCCTGGCAGATCAGGGTAGGATTCTTACACTTTGTTCACTTCATAAGGTTTGGCTTCACCAGAGCAAAAGGTCTGGTGAAGCTATCAAGGACCTAACAAGGGTACACCAGAAAAGGGCATTTCATTACATTTAACGTTTCATTTCTTTGCCATCAAATTATGTCTAAATTGAGTCATGTGATAGTAAAATGGTTTATTTTATATTATATATAAATATATATTTATTTCATAGTAAATACTTGTAACATTCCAATACAACATCATTAAAATTTTATAATTATGAGGTGGTAACCTGATATGATCACACACAGAAATCACACTAACGTGATGCATCAAATGATTAAGGCAGTGTCTGGGATGCTCCCGGACGCAGGTTCGAATCCTCGTCACGGCCCTTGTGGATTTGTTAATCTGATATGATGTCTGGGGAAAATTCCAAGTCACTACCCCGCTGTGAACAGGAGAAAATATTGACAAAGGTATAGCTTGGATGTTCCTGATCAAATAATGTACACTACTGTACTATATTTATAATTAATTTTAAACTTGGCCTTTTCTATCTCACTAGTGCATGCAATGGCTAAGCAGACTCATTCAAAATCTAATTCTAATCCATTTTTCACAAAAAGCCATTCAATCACAAACATTTAACAACCAGAATTGTGTGTATAAGCTATTTTATACAGCATGAAAAACATTCGTGTCGATGAGGTGTGCTAGCTGTCATCCCAACACAACCTATACTCTACCTATAATATACATCATACAAATCAATGAATTACAAATTTACACATAAATTATGAGGAAAGCACGAAAGCAGTTGCTAAACCTGTGTAGACAAAAGTCAAAGCCAAAGGTCATATGTCAACAGGTGATTCAGGTCAGTGGAAGATATTACTATCTAATTTCTAGTATAATATAATTTGTAATATCCTCAGTATATTGCAATCATCATTTTGGTTTTTAGAGAACCATGACACACTTTAATATAATTTTATCTCATTTTCATTATTTACTTCAATTGTACAGTATCTTTAGTTCATAATGCTGCTCCTCTCATACTGAACACAATAAAACATTGCATTGTTCTATCAGTAAAGTTCTGGAGCTAAGGCATGAAAATTGTGCAGACCTGAAGCAGCAAGTTCACACATCCTCCAAACTCTCGTCAGCTGTCATATTCTACTTAATGCTCAACTTCTCTCTCCTCCGTCAATGGTCTAATTGTACTTATTACGAGATCCGTATCTTCGCACATTACTATGTAATAGCATTATGTTCTCGTCTCTTAATGTTTAGGATTATTATTGGAGTTTTTGGTCAGTCAGTTATAACCATTAATTTAAACTAATATTTGGCGAATTTAGTTAGGCATCCTATTTTTCCACTTATTTAATGCAGAGTTTCATTATAGATAATGGTTTTGAAAATGATATTCAAGCTATTTTCCCCTACAGTACTTACATTTGCCCTAGTTTAGCTTACAGATAGGACAACAATAACACGTCATCCATAGTGCTCCCATATACAAAATTTAGCCACTGAATGTCATTCTTCAAGAAATAGATAATCAAAATGAAAGCCGAGTATAAGTCAGCAGAACGTGGCTTTACTGTACTTATATGCAGCTACACACATATATCCAACTTAAACTGGATTTCTCGCTTTGATTCACTTGATTCAAAAACTTCAAAAAATACTTAAATACTGAACCTGTATTTTGGCAATTGTAAAACTATCATATAAAAATCATGAATGCACCATTCTATCAATAACAATAGTGTTCTTCCACTGACCATGAGAGGATATTTCATGCAGGATCTTGAAGAATATAACAAGAAATTGACAATTGTGTTATTGAATACCATTTTAGAATACTGGTATATTTTCCAAAGTTGCATCCTGCTAATATAAAACTATATATAAAAAAAAACATTAAAAGCTTACATTTAAAGTAAAAGCTTCTCAATTCAGTATATCTAACAGCTAATGAACACAAAACAATGTAAGTATAAAAATGATTTAAAAAGGATTACAAACCAAGACATGAATGATAGTTAGTCTTCCACCCTGGCTTCATGCTCTAAATTGTGTGGCAATATACAGCAAAGGAAGGGACTATGACAATTACTGAAAACTGTTCACTCCACCCAGAACATAGGGAAAATCTAGGAGAATAATGTACGGCAAGTACTAGATATATACACAGTATATGCAATGGCATTCTAAAGTATGCAGCACTGTTATGTGGCATTCTCTCCACTACAAATGAGCAACAGATAACCATTTATGGTATAAGGTCTTGAATAAAACAAAATTACAAGTGCAATTATTAAAAGTAATACAAAGGGAAGCAATGTGTTGAAAATGTGTTACAACTAAGAAAGTAAAGCAGGACCTTGTACCAAAAACAATACATCAGTATTACCACAAGAAACGAACATTACAGAATGCATGCTTTCCCAGGAAATGATAAACCTACTTTTGTTTTCATAAGGTGTTAAAAGGGTAAATTTTGTGATGTAACGGATTTTGGGCTTGAGTAATTTTTTCACAATTTCCCGACTAATATATTTTACTGCCTCTTAATATTGATGCATTTCCAAGATTGAAGATTGACTGTATATAAATGGGAACAGCAGTAAACATAACACAGTTCCTCGAGTATACAAGAGGAAAAGGTACGTGTAACGCATGTACTGTACACCCAAAAATTACATGTCTGCACACATTAATATTGGTCTAATTTCACATTTACAAAGTGCAAGATCGCGCATCATTCTCTACATTTGAAGCTTGCTTTTCCGTCATTAACACCAAGTCGACACTAAATATTGTAAAAATAAAGAATTTATTTATAATAAAACCACTAAATATTGTAATGACTATAGACTTGATTGTTAACATTACAATATAATTCTGATAACTAAGGCAAGACCATTAATTCATATCTTGGCCTTTAAGGCAAATTTCAACAGTAGTATGAATAAATTTATGATCCACAGAATCATTAAATTAGCATACAAAATAACAATGCAATTAAAAGTCTAACCAATGAATGTTAGCATATGTCTCACAAACTGTGTAGTGAAGAAACACAAATCTCTCTCCAAAAACACATTATCAAACATGAACAAAACATGAACAAAAACACATTATCAAAAAGAACCCATCTTCACAGCATATTCAAACAACACAGCAGACTGCATATAGTATTGTACAAATTGTGTAAGTGCAGTTTTATAAGTACTGAAAGCATCCTCCATGCAGTATGAACGACATTGTGCACATACCGGGTAAATTAGAGTTTGGTGTTTACTGAAACCAAACCTAATCTACAGTATAATGTCAGCCATACTATGCATTACATTTTCACTATTTAAAAAATCACACTTATCACAAGATGTACAATATGATATGCATTTATGGGGCACGAAAGCTTATCGCCAGGCTGCGAGCAGCCGCGTCTAACAGCCTGGTTGATCAGTCCAGCAACCAGGAGGCCTGGTCGACGACCGGGCCGCGGGGACGCTAAGCCCCGGAAGCACCTCAAGGCAAGGACATTCCCCAAGTCAAGCTGAGGGAATCCATGCATTTATTGAGCCAGTTAGTGGCCAGATCCAATGGTGCTTTACCTTACTGGGCTTAGTGGCGTGCATACCACCTACAGTGCCACCCCCAATAATACTATGTTGTTTAATTATGTGTGCGAGTTCAGGTATTTAAAAAAACAAACTACTGTACTAGTATCAATTGACAAACGTCGATAGTTTCCCATAAAAGACATTTTGCACATGAAATTGAACATACAAATAGCACAAACATTTTGGCTAATAATGTGTGTGCTAACAATGCTAATTTTTTTTATTTTGATGCTAACAACAACAACATAGGGAAACAGTATTTTAGCTAAAAATATTTTTATCCATCAATCAAGCCCAATATCCAAATTAATCAAGCCTATGCACATCTACAGGAGTGCCCTCAGAGCAAGCCATTAATACATACCAATGCGCTCCTATCGGCTTCTGTGAGCGAACCTGCTGAAACTGAGAGACCAAAACCACAATCAAATACACAGATCCTTTTAAAAAGATCCTGTTTATGTTGCTCCTACTATCTTTATTTCTCTACATTCCTGTGCCCGACATTCACAACCAGTTGGGAAATGGGGAGAAAGAAGAGAAGAATTGGGTGCACGCTGACTACTGACTCTGGGCTCAAGGGGGCCAGATTCACGAAGCAGTTACGCAAGCACTTACGAACCTGTACATCTTTTCTCAATCTTTGGCGGCTTTGTTTACAATTATTAAACAGTTAATGAGCTCCGAAGCACCAGGAGGCTGTTTATAACAATAACAACAGTTGATTGGCAAGTTTTCATGCTTGTAAACTGTTTAATAAATGTAACCAAAGCCGTCAAAGATTGAGGAAAGATGTACATGTTCGTAAGTGCTTGCGTAACTGCTTCGTAAATCTGGCTCAAGGTCCGTAACTGGCCTTATTATTCAATTATACACGATAATTTGCAGGATAAAAGTACTGAAATTACAAATACTGTAATTGAAGAAGGCTTCTGAGATTATTATCTATTTGGAATGACTAAATATGCCATATTTCTATAACAAATCAAGCTTATATACCAGTATTTACTTCATTACTGGTATGGAACTTCTGGTTAGACCCTCAACTTCATCACAGCCAATTTGGCTGATGAGAGATGCTTGTGAAGCTCACTGTACCCAATCCTACTTCTTGTACAGAGCAACAAAATAAATCCATTGATGCATTAATGGCTAACTTTTCAGAAGAAAATTTGGGGGGGGGACAGAGATATCGGGATATCAGGATTTAACTATGAAATACATCTATTTTAAAGCCTCTAAAAAAAATAAAAAATATATATACTATATATATATATAAAACTTAAAAAGAGAACTTGTTATGCATTATTATACTAGCTGCTGCACACTGATCAAAATGTGACTATCAAATCTGAAGCTAATCTTTAACATCTATAGCAGAGATAGATATATATATATATATATATATATATAAAATAACATTTCATTCACTTGAACCATAGGAGTCTTACACTGTAGACCACACAAGCAGCAGCCAACACCTGTTACGAGGTCCAACACCTCTCAGCCGAGTGGACAGTGCTCTGGGTTCATTGTACAGTACTGTACTAAGGACCCTGCATTTGATTCCCAGTCAAGGCAGAAAGAGGCAAAGTTTCTCTCACCCGATTATTGTCACCTAGGTACCTGGGAATTGTACAGGTGCTATGCGCAGCATCCTGGGGATGTGTGAGATATAGGAAAAAATAGGTCAAAGAAAGTACATTAGGTAACCGACAGAACGGCGGGTTCCAAGAACAGCCAGCTTGATCCTGCTGGCACAAATAGTAAATACAAATAGTAAACACGGCTCTACCGACTCAGCCACCAACACCCCTTAAGTAAGAAGGACACCAGAGAGACCATTCTGGGTACCATTCCTTTTCCCCCATCCCAGCACACACATCCTTATCCTAATCTCTTCCCAGTGCTATAGTGCCATAATGGCTTGGTGCTTTCTCCTTTTCCAGAGAGACCTATCTGTTGCTGTCCAGCTAGAATTTTAGGCCTTACCTGAGGTGCCACTAACACCTTCATGCCAAAGTGGCATCCCAAAGAAGGCTTAAAGTTCTAGTTGGACACCAGATAGGCGTCTCTGGAATCCTTCCTATTTAGGGAACGCCTTTGACTCGCTTAACAGAGTTGCGAGCTGCTACTTGTGAGACCTGTGGTTCGAAGCTAATAAAGTCCAAGTGAATGATTTTATTTATAATATTAATATATATATATAATCCTAAAACCTAAAGAAGTTCAACAGAAGCCAGAGTACAAAATCTGCACTCTTCAGATATATGAACAGTTCCTAGTGTATGCTGTTAAATGCAACTACAAGGCACTGAAGCAGACTGGTTAGTTAGCAATGCAAAAAAAGAAAAAAAAAAGTACCTCAATCCTTCAAAAACTGTCTAACAAGGCACTGTACGCAATATATATATATATATGACGATTAGCAAGTATATGGTACAGCTCAGCTCATATAATGCATGAAACCAATTGCTACAATTAAGTACATTCTCTTGCATCCAGTTAATAATAAACTAAACCTATAATTAAAAAAAAATTACTATTGCAAAATATTCTTTCAGAAATATTATACAAGAACCATAACAAACATTTTGACAATTTGAATTTTGTATTATGATGAGCTTAAAATTAAATGCATGAATATTAATATATATAATATATAAATAACTGGCAATACCCTGTATTTGTCTGTCTTCTACAGTAGAGTTTCCACAGTAGAAGAATCACAACTGTAATCTAGTACCACTGTATTAAATTACCAGTAATAATACCAAACCCCCTCAATGTCTGATCAAACTTATTACTCGAGATAGCTTTAGTCTTTGTCCTAAGTGTGTGTGTGTGTGTGTGGTGTAAATAGTGTACAGTACTCACCATCAGAACGGGCACTGCTAAACTCTGTGCTCTGCGTCTTCTCCCCGAGCCCTGAAAAGCTGTAGTCACCCTGTAATGTGAAAAAATTAGCTATTTTCGATATAGTGGTATTATTTGTATGTATTAAAATATCGATAATTACGTTTTGTTTTGGAAAATAGCATCCAAGTTGTTAATACCAAAAACTTGTGCAATAAGCAATCTTTATAATCAATTTTGATAGATAATCAATCAATATTTTGTCAATATTTTATAGCCACTGCTGTTAACATATAATACAAGTGGAAACAATGAATACTCTCCCCACCAGTAGAAATAAACAGCCAAGCAAAACGGGTGGCAGACATGTGCAGGTTTTGAGAGAGTGCGGTGTGTTGAGCAAAGTAATGTATATCAAAAACACCAATCAAGATGCGACACAGGAGAGTAATACAGAGCTTACTTAAAATCTTAAACAAACCCAATAAAACAAAAGTGATGTAAGTGGAGTATCATACTTTACAAATTTACATAATGAAGCTCATTCTGCATTTAACAAACATTCTGCGTATCCTGTCAGAACATCATACCAAAGTTGTGCTATTATGCTGAGAATTATATGATAATTAATATGTTCATAAAAATTATAAGTAAGATAATGCAAGAAACCAGTATTGAGGGTGTATAAGCAGTGACTTACATGAAGCGCAGAATATGATCCTAGACCCTGGCGGTAGAAGGTGTTGCGTGGCGAGAAACCGTAGCCAGGCTTGGGAGGTTGTCTGAGGGAGCTCACAACTGAGGGGCCATAGAGGCCAACACAGGTCAGTAAACAAACTCCCAATGGTGATACAATATTAGGAGGAACACACACTTATGCTAATGAGTGTGCTTTACCATTACCTTCTCCAAGACTTCCACTGGGATCTTTAGAAATGTAGTGGCACCGTTACATTGGTTCTACTCTCACTCAATTTGTTTGTAACTGGTTTTCCAGCATTATAACTGGAAATGAATGCTTCTCAATCGAGACTGATGATAACGATGACTAGTACTGGCAACTATTTTTTGTTTGTGTAATTTATATCCTTTTTTTTTATTTATTATTACCGGTATAAAATATTAGGTATACCCAATATTTTACACTGTATTCACTTTGCCAACTCCCAAAAGTAGTGGGCATAATAATTGGAATGTTTTACTTTCAATTTTGGACATTATTAACAAAGTTGTTTTTAAATACTGTAGTGTATCATTATATACTATGATTAATTGGATTCTGGTCATTCCTTTTACCATCTGTGACAGGAATTCACAAAATCAATTCATTACAGTATATAGCAATCACACATTGTCATGTACAGACATTACATAATTGTTTGTATATAAAGTAATTAATAAATCACAGCTCATTTCCATAAGCACCGAACCCCCAATCATTGCAATAGAAGGAGAAGAAAGAGTGAACATCTAATTTAATTAATACACAAGTTAACTCACGATCATTCCAGCAGTGCCGCCATTGCGTCCGGCTGCGGGTAGAGTGGACGACTTGAGTCCGTAACCTGGTTTAGGTTCCCCTCGTAGGGCTGATACAACTATGAGTAGGGCGGTTGGGGTTGGGGGCCAAGGATGTGTTTGTGCCAGGTAATGCAAAAAGGTTTTCAAAGATTGGAAAGTATGCATGTGTGTGTGTGTGTGTGTGTGTGTGTGTGTGTGTGTGTGTGTGTGTGTAATATTATATATATATGCATATGCACATTTTGTTGTTGTTGTTGACAGAGGATAAGGAACAGGAATGAATTGATTCAAAATTTTGAATCATTGCTCATATTGGAGTCAATGTTTTTTTATAATTTGTCAAATATTGTACGGTTAATAACGTCAAAATTGGTAAATACAAAATTTAGGTCATTTTTATGGTCAGGGTGGTGATGGAAGGGTAAATTTGATTTGGTTAATTAGGAAAGGTATGTTGGAGAAACAGCCATTATACATATGATGTATGGTATACACCAGATAGTTTGAAGCAAGTCAAGCAAATAATGATAAACCAACACCAACATTACAAATATTGTCAAGTCCGTCACCAATTAAGTTTGAGAAGTTGGAGTCAGAGTTGAGTGATGAAAGTGGCATGGCGGGGTGGTGGTGGCAGGGTTGTGGTGGAGGCAGGATTGTGGTGGTGGAGGCAAGATTGTGGTGGTGGAGGCAGGATTGTGGTGGCAGAGGCAGGGTTATGGTGGTGGCAGGGTTGTGGTGGTGGCAGGGTTGTGGTGGAGGCAGGGTTGTGGTGGAGGCAGGGTGGTGGTGGAGGCAGGGTTGTAGTGGCAGCCGGGTTGTGGTGGCGGCAGGGTTGTGGTGGCAGCCGGGTTGTGGTGGCAGCCGGGTTGTGGTGGAGGGAAGGTGGTGGTGGAGCCAGGGTGGTGGTGGAGGCAGAATGGCAGCAGCCAGATGATAATGTTAGGGGGAAAAAAAAAGGGAGGGAGAGAACACAAAATATTCAGGTCAGTAAGAAAACAACAACATGCAAAACATAAGACATAAACCAAATAAGATATGATCAGTAAAGGCAAGTATGTACACTCTTCAGTGGGGCATTTTTACACATTATTACTGCTATCTTGTTTAATACGTTTTAAAGGCAAACTTTACTTGACTGATCATACTAATGTTAAGGGATTTTTTTTTAATGTCTAGCGTACAATCTAGTCAAATTTGGCAACCAATGGATCAATCACTATGTTAACTGGGTATAAATTGCCTAATGCATCAAAATTTTTATTTTAGTTTAAAACAAATTACATCAGTGATTATTATAGCATTGGTAAGAACAGACAAAAGAATACCTATAATTATAATTCTAGCATGCATAAAAGTCAAACATAATCTAAACCTCTTGGTAATCAAGAGCCAACAATAAGATTGTTTCACTCCATCTTGAAGTGTGCTTCAAGTTGTTATGAGAGTCATTCATATTCCTTTCCAAATCAATTTTATAATAGGCATTGGGTTACAACTGCAGTACTAAAGCCTGTATTCACACTTGCCTCTCAACGACAAAGTGCTGATATTTTATAATAATAATATATTTATTTTATTTACATACTGTAGTGCACATAAATGCACAAGAAACTACTTTATGTTGGGAATCAGCATAGAAATGAAAAACAGTTCTATGCTTCCAATGTATATATACTTTAGATAAAAATACATAAAATGGAAAGTATACAAATGCAAAAAATACTTGGCAAGATTATTGAAAATTTTATGAATGCAGAACTGGAAATAAAAAGGGGGTCATGCGAAAAAATATAGTATTTAAAACACACTAAGAATTAACACCAATTAAAACTATGAAAACACTAAACACACCGGGATTGATGCCGAAAGAGGATGAGTGTGCGTGTGTACATGATGCAACTAGTAAATCTGCCAATCACATGTGTTAAAATAAACTTCCGTGTCCCAAATGGTTCTAAACATTTAGATAAACAAAAAATGTTTAAGAGCGAAGAGTAATTACACATGTACACGTGATGAGTTATGCATATAATGCATCTTCCCCAAGCAATTAGTAATACCAACTATCATTATATTGTATAGATTTTATTCGGAGTTATTAATTACTGGTTGCATCACAGTACTGGTGTGTGGGAAGGACCAAGGAGGACAGGTCAGGGAGGCAATGTGGTGCGCAGCACATTGTACTACACAAATATTTTACAAACCCTATATTGCTGGCATCAACCAACAAATGTGACAATCCTTAACACTCATTCTATTCATTCTGTTCATTATAGAAAAAATATCAATTTTATTTTTAAATATACTTCAAATTGAACTTATTCTATAACGGTATAAATAGACACTACAAAAAACAATTTATAATAATATAATGTATGTATGTACTGGATATATATTTTATATACACATACCACACAACCACTTTGATTGACAGTTGAGACGTGGGACCAAAGAGCCAAAGCTCAACCCCTGCAAGCATAACTAGGTGAGTACTCAGTAATAATTGTTCATGCCCAGCTCCCTATGGGATTGTTCTGCTTAATTAAGTGTGGTGCCGCATGTACAATTTCTTAGACATTTTTGCTGCCTTGAAGTCTTAAGAGCATCTCAAAGGGACTCTCAAGAAATTCATTAACACATTTTAATTTAAAATTGTTGATATCAAGATATTTAGAATTTGATGAAAGTGTACAGCAGTATAAATACATACCGTTATACGAGGGTATAGTGGCCGAGGATCTTCCAGTAGAACATCGATATGATGAACCTCTATCAAATTCATCATCTTCAGGGCCCCAAGGCCGACTGTGGTCCGTCATTCGAGAAGGCGCTGTAAACATTTTGTGCAATGTTAAACTACATATAGAGCTTAAAATCCTAAAATAAATTTAATAAGTTAAGGACCATAATAGTTCCATCAATTATGATTTAAAAAGTACTGTATAGTGGCAACCCACAAACTCCAAATTTGTTATATTTTAAAAACTCATCTAAGCTGACAAATTTTCCTATAGAAATGCTGTTGACACAGGTGGAAACTTACTACCCTAAATGAATTAGATACATTGGAAATAATTTTGTCAGTGTCAGATTAGTGAACAAATGGCGGAGACACGCTCCATACACAGTTTTACATATAGATATAAGAGACCACTACACACAGAAGCCTATAAACCAGTTGATTGACAGTTTAGAACAAGACAAAAGAGTCACACCCCAACCCCTGCAGGCACAATTAGGCAACAGTTAGGCAAAAAGTATCATACACACATCCTATATACAGGCATACCTCCATACAGGCCCTTCCCCAACACACACACACAATATATACACAGTATATGTATGTATGTGTGCATTTCAGAATTGCAAAACATTATTGTTTGTCAATAAAAAGATTTCTCGGGTGTTGGTACAGTTTGGTTAATAGCTAGAGAATTTGAGTAAAGAACCTTTTTATGCCACTGTGCTCAGAATAAAGAGCAGACTTTCTTCTTCATCTGATATGATTTTAAATAAGAACAAGAACAACTCACATGCGTTGAGAGATGACCCAAAGCGCAACTTATTCCCAGGCTCGCGGTCAGCAGCTGGTGTTCGCGAGGCATTACGTGGATCAAGATGGGTGGCTTTCCATGCTCGGATCTTTTCTCTTTCTTTAACTTGTTGAAGGAACACTTTACCAATACCAGTTGCAATCTTGCTCAGCTCTACTTCCTCTCTCTGTTTATTAGTAAAAGTAATTCATCAGAATTGGGGAAATATCTTATTACTTATTTATAAATATCTTTCATGTTTTATTTATTTTTCCTTCTACAAATACCCTACTTGACCCTTTTCCTGCACATCTGATACTTGATGTCCAACACAAAATTCACCTTCATTGCAGAAAAACAAGTTTGTCAACTTTCATAGAAACAATTCTCCATATACAGTGGCACCTCCAAAATCTGGACCTTTTATAACGGGTCTCTCTCTAAACAATGGACCAAATTCAGTCACCAGCTCTCCCTCAGAACTTAAAAAAAAATTTCACATAAACGTCCATCTTCCGGATAAAGCCCCTGTGAAATTTGGATCATTAGGCCGAGTAATTATTAGAAAGAGTTCAACAAATTTCACAAAATCTTAAGTTAAAGAAAGTTTTGGGAATGAGGAAGTCAATGTGCCTGGTTCAATGGGTATCATTGTCCTACTTTTGAAAAAATCTGATTTATGAGGCTGGATTCCATAAAAATTACTAGCAATGAAGGAAATTTTTTTCATAGATAGGTTTTCCTGGTAGTTATTTGTAATATGATGGGATAAAATTTTAATTTTGCTCAAATAAATTTGTTTGAAGTTGGAAATATTAGGGCATGAATGTTAACTCTTTAATATGGCTCCAATTATGGTGTAATGATTTTTGTAGTTGGACATAACACTAGTAGAAACAGTTGGTTTTCTTGGGAAAGGCACCGAGCATACTTAAAACAAAATTCTATGTTTCGTTTTAATTTTGAGCTTATGCAGTTTTTATTCACCCAGGTTATGTTTAATTAAATATATACCTTAAATATTTAGTCCCACACTAGGATGTAGGGTTATATTATATAAGTGTGTTTCTGACAAGCCTACCTTTGCTCATCTTGTTACAAGCCTAATATTTAACCATTCTGCTTCTGTAATGAACATTTCTATAATGAACATGTCCTATGCTCACATGGGGTCCCCCAGGCAAGTGCCCATTGGGGCCCATGTGGTAGTATGGCTCTGACCATGGCCTCTTCAGGGATCCCCCCCCCCCCCTGACTCGCAGGTAGAAGAGCCAGGACCAGAGACCCATTAAAAACTTGAACTCAAAGCCTTGTTAGTAGGGAGGGAAGTATAATATACTAGGGCAAATCCACAAGATCCATGACGAGGGTTCGAACCTACGTCCGAGAGAATCCCAGACGCTGCCTTAATCGACTGAGCAACGACATGGTAAAAGAATTGCAACCAGGAAATCATCCTGATTTACCAATGGTTCCTGCAGTCTCTCCCAGACACAAACCAGGGTTTTATGCAATTCCCCCATGCAACTGAGCTATGTCAATAGACTGCTGTACCTCTTCGAACCTACAGTAGGCCGTAGGTTCGAACCCTCGTCATGGCCCTTGTGGAATTGTTCATTTGATGCATCACGCTATTGTGATTTCTGTGTGTACTACAGTATACTAGGGCCTTAAAATCTTCCTCATAAAACAAGAGTGGGACCTCCCACCACCACACCAGCAACTGGCATGGGCTGCAAAAGTTGACTAGAGCCTGATCTGTGAATGATGTCCTGGGTGGACTCAGGTCTTGAATAGTGTAGACACAAGAGGGTCAAGTTAAAAAATTAACAACCATTTCAAATCAATGCCTAATTTTATCATAAAATAAGGAATTTAGTTTACTATCTAAATTCTAAATAAAACTTAAGGCATAGTAATGGTAGATATAGAAAGCATAATCTTTTCTCTAATCAGAAATGTAATTTTTGTTGAATTTTGAGCAACAAAATATTTGCTGTTGGAACTCTGTATCAAATGTAAACACACCGTCAAAGGGTTAAGATTAATCAGTCACCGGAATTATAACCTAAAATTTGTACTCCACCCCGTAACCCTGTCACTCGTCTAATTAGGTATTACTAGGTAAATAATGTTGAAAAAAGACAAATGGCTTATTATGCTCATCGAGTAATATCAAAGGCAACAGTTTAATTAATTTTATTTCTACACTTATATAAATAAATGTATTTTTTTTTTTTTTTTACAAAAATTAATGAAAATTTATAAAAAAATTAGTATATAGTATTACAAAAAAAAAAAAAAAAAAAAAAAAAAAAAAAAAAAAAAAAAGATAGACAGTGAAATGCAAAGTATCAAGATTGGAAGTTCAAGTACCTCATTAATACCCTTTGGTGGCTAGCACTCGTACCTTTAATTTAGGATCTTCAGCTACAGAGTCTTCATCTATTTCAGTGCCTTCATCAGTTTCATCGATGCTGACAGCTTTATTACTGCCTGACCACCTCCGCCGTCGCTCTGAAACATCTGCCAGTGAGGCCAGGGCCACACCCATCATGACGGTTAGTTCACAAGACACACACAACACGCAAAGCACTGCTTGGGACTCTCCATGTCAAGCACTTAGCAAAACCAAGAAACACTACAGTTAGGTTACCACTCAAGGGATCTTTACACCATTATTAATTTGTGACAATGAGTGATCACGATACTAAACAGTTTGACATTATTGACCTAATTTAACATGTCGCCATTAGATAAAGCTTGAGAGACTGTATTTTAGTGATATGATAAACCCACATTCTAAGAGAGTGCGTGAACATTTATCTTAATATTCACCAATACTTAAAATCTCTCAATGCCCAAGACATGAGAGAGGACAAGTCAAAATTGAAGATGAGAATTATGCAAAATAATGAACAGAACAGCATGGAATATAGGAACAGAAATGGAAAATGTGAAAATAGTGATAAAAGGCTTAGATGAAAAAAATCTAATTATCAGACTTTCATAGAAAATGAAATGTGGCAAGTAAAACAGATTAACTTGGAAAGATCACTGAAACACAGACAACCAATATACTCTGGTGACCCGTAGCATAGCAGTTAGTGCAGTTGACTCGGAACCAAATTATCTCTAATTTGATTCCTAGACAGGAGACATTTGGGCAAACTTTCTTACACCTGATGCTTCTGTCGACCAAACAAAACTGCAGTCCACGTCAGACACTAACACATGCTGTAGATGAAACTGGCTCCACACCCTACAAGAGACACGATGCAGACAACAGTGTTGGCAACTCATACAATGAGCGAGGACATACACAGTCGGTATGGGAGAAGAAATTTCAACAGTGCCTAAGCCTCGATAAAAGGTCACAAAAGGCAAAGTCAGGGTAGTGGTCGAATTCAAGAGGAACCAAACAACACTGAAGGCTAAACCACACATATAAGATGGAGAGAAGATAACACTGAAGGTCCTTGATAATCAGTCCCAAGAAGAATAGCCCTGAAATTCTGCAGAGCTGGGTGCAGCAGATGGATGCCAGGCTACATGAAAAGATTATCTGCATCATCTGGTGGTGTTCAGTTCATTTAGCAGAGATAATTAGCTTCAATTTCAATTCTCTCTCTCTCAAAGGGAGAGTTGACTGATATAGTTCTGCTCCTTTGTTTACAGTGAGATGGCTTTAGTGGCGGATTAAAAGTTTTATCTCGTCTCTTATCCAAAACCACATGGTTGGACATCTTATCCAGTGCAGATATAGATATATCCATATCTATATCTTGTCCAGTGGGGGCATAAGATTGGACATGTCCTAGACAGATCCCTGGCCCGAGCCTGGTGAACATCCAAAAGGGCATTGCTCAATTCTATATAAATGCAATTCAGAATTTTTACTTTAGCAAATGGTGCAATTTTGTTTGTTTTAAGTTTCTCAAAGAACAACTGAATTATGCATTAACATGCATAAAACTAAGTACAATACAGTACATGTATAAAAAAAATATTAAAAGAATTTTTTTTTTAAATAAGTAATTCAATGTTGCAATTAATGTCATCCCTTGAGTGGTAATGTATAGAAGGGTCACTATAACCAACACATCAGCTATTACTTAATTAAATAAGAAACTTAAATGAATTGCTGGAGTTCACTAACTCACTCCCTCACACACACACGCACGCACACACACACGCACACAAACCCTGTGATTTTTGAGGTGGTATCCATCTCAAAAAATTAACAAAGCAGAAAAGATAAAAAGATGTTACTAAATGGCTCCCAGACCTAACGCTGTTATATCCTTTCCAGTATTTTATCCTCGAGCCCATGTACTGTACTTTCAGTTTTTGGTAAAAAATTTTGGTGATACCAAACCAGTTTTTTTTATGTTTTTTCTTTCCCTAAATTGTGTCGGGATGTCAACAAGTAGTAGATAAGTAGTAGTAGTAGTAGACATCATCTCTCAGGAAGGATACGATGACCGATTTCTAGTTTCCTACTACATATCTGCCTTTCTCTTAATTTAGAAACGATTTTTGCAAAAATCTTATCTTATAGAACTTTTCCTTTCTCTTGGGATTTTCTGAATTGGATTTTTAGTAAACACAGTTCACAGTTCAAAACACAGTTTTGGACTGAATTCCATCCACCCATGGAGCTTTTGAGGTCTTCAACTTGTGGATACTTTTTGCATAATCTTGTATGGCATGGAGACAGCTTTTAACTTGTACTCTAAAGTTCCAAACATCTGTATGGGTGTTTGTTTATTAAATATGTAAATATTTCTTTAAAGAACAGTACTCGTGTTTTCAGCTGCTTTTGTCCTCAGTAAGAATCCTTACTGAGGACAAAAGCATGCAAGATATACAAGAAAATTTGATTTCGCAAAACAGTGGAAGATTGTTGGAACAAGTTAGGTGAGAAGGGGATGGAGGCCAAAACCATCAGTAATTTCAAAGTGTTATATTACAGTGCTGGGAAGATAGGACACCACTAGCATACCTCTCATCCTGTAACTACACTAAGGTAATTACACTTGGATAATTACACACACACACGTGCGCACACACAACACAATCAATGATTAAAGCCAGGACCCAGTAGCCAAGGCTCGGTTCCGTTAATTACAACTCGGTGAGCATACACATGCACTCAAAGATAATGCTTATTAACAGGAATTTAGTGTGTGTGTGTGCATGACTTGGTCAATATCGCTGCCAGCTCATGAACACACCAACATGTCTGACCGGTCCACGCACACTTTAAACAACGCGTAATAGCTGAAAAGTTGGTATACTAAAAAACCTAAACCAAAAACCCAAGCTTAAAAATAGGACATGGAAAAAACTGGCTATTCTAAAGCTCCGATGGGAGTAAAAGGGATATACAAGATGAACCAAGAGTATATATTAGGACATTCATGTAGCTGTATATATAGAGAAAAAAAACAGTTACATATAACCACCAAGATAAAAAATATGAATGCTCCAAATGCCCCACAACAATGAATCCAGGGCGGAAGATTGTTTATAATCTACTCAAAAACTATTGCTACTGAGATTTGACTGAATATACAGCACTCATGTTTAAAGAAAGTAGAATAACAGCTTTATCACCTAAGCTCACTTATCAGAAACATCTCTTTCGATATATCTTTTTTTTTTAAAGTGATATCCATATCGGCAAAGCTCACACCAGATTGATTTACACTTGGTATTTCAAGGACAACATACTACCCACAGATGCCTCATCCCCAAGCTGCTCACCCACTACTATTATCGCTTATACGCAAGAAATTGCAGTGCAGTAGCCGAAGAGGTTAATGCAAATCTGCATTATAGTTGTAACTATATATATGCATGCAATCTGGTTGCTCTGTAGTTCACATAACCTTTAATGCACAGCAAGTTAGCTATGTTGTCTAGCATGATATACCAATGCATGACATGTCTTTTTCTCAATATTGTTTTTCTCTGGGTTTCATATACGGTACAATATTCAATGAGTGATTTTTCAAAAATTTGGATTTTTCTTTTATCACTAAGATTTAGACTTACAATTCAATTCATTATGGATTTGGAGGCCTATTACAGTACAACTTTTTTTTCTTACCAAATTGCAAAATATTATAACTTGGAATATAAAACTGCTTACAATTATATATATATATATAGATATATCAAGCAAAGAGTCCTGACAAGTACTACTGACATCACTACATTTTGATATGTGGGCACAGAACACCAATTACTCCAGATCAAACAGCATTACCAAACTGAAAATTATAGAGGGTAAAGTAGGAGTGGATTATAGTCAGCATTAACCTGGGAAACACAAACAAGCTGAGGATGGCTTTAAGCATAGGAATTGGTTATATTGAGAATTAGGGAACAAAATTACACACACACATTACTCTGAAAACGATCTGCATAACACAACTTGTCACGTAATTTAGGTTTTAAAAATATTGGTATAAAAAGTAATTCCTAAATTTTTCTGGGAATGGAAGTTGCAACTTGCATCACAAATGTATTACTAAACAAAACGAGCTTATTATTAACAATTAAAAAAAATAATAGACGACCATGTTTGTGAAATCCCATTTTATGGCTAGCATGATAAGGAATAAAGAATGTTGACCAAACCACACTAGAAAAAGAAGAAACAACGGCATTTTGGTCAGTCCTGGATCATTATCGACTGATAATGGACCATTATCAATAGTCAATGGACCAAAATGTCCATTTTGGACATTTTGGTCCATTGACCAAAATGTCCATTTTGGACCAAAATGTCCATTTTGGTCCATTCTGGATCATTATCAACTGATAATGGACCATTATCAATAGTCAATGGACCAAAATGTTGTCGTCTCTTCATCTTCTAGTGTGTGGTTTGGACAACATTCTCCTGCTATGTTATTGTAACTCATCATCTGCAGAGGAATAAAGATTTGAAGTGCAAGATTATCTTCACTTTGCTAGTTGGCGACTGTAAACCACAGCACCATAATGATAAAGCATTGCTGGGCTCATACCGGCCAACAGGAATTAAACTTCAGCAAATTCCTTCCATGCTTCAAAGCTCTGGGCAAGTGATAATTGTTAGAAGACACTACAAAATAATTTTCAGATTTGTCTATCTTTCCCTAACTATAATGTGAGGTTTCACAAACACACGGCCTTCTTTGTGGCAAATATTTTAGACACGGCCCACAATATAAACCCCAGCAGACATGACAGATACCATAAAATACTTGCCTTTATAATCTCCAAAGTATCATCAAAGTATATCCTGATGGCAATTAATGATGATGACCAGCTTGTCAGTCCATTTCTTCAAATTTTTAAGAAAGGTGAGAAGATGTTTACCCTCGTATGTCAAGTGTTTGGAAAAATAGCAAAGTGGACAGATGCATTCTCAGAGAAAACACACATGAATATTCATCAGGCAGAATTAAGAGTGTATTAGCAAGTCCTTGACTTAAAAAATCCGACTTACAAATGCCTGATCTTACAGGGAGCCTCTCAAGCCCCATTTGTCCTCTCTGGATTGCCATGTGAACTGGCTATGTCACCCTCCCCCTGTAATACTGTACTGTGAACAATGTTATTTTCACGTCCACATGAAGTGCTCTAGAGGCTGGCTGAGAGTACTATGTGGCTGACCTACACTGCCCCAATCAGAAGAATTTTGTACCCAGTGTAGTCCGTGTACTGTTTCCAATCTTTATCAAGGACAATAACATTGTGGCTTTATATAGTTACTTTACCCATGTAACCACTATAACTTGTCCAATATATTGTCCAATATATATGATTTATACTGTGTTATTATTAATAATAATGACATAAGAGGAAGTGTGTTGGTGATGCACTAGTGTCAGGGAAGAGGCAACCTATTACCCTAGAAATGAAACTAGATACAGTATATAAACAAGTAACTGAAACAGCGAGGTTTCAGTTACCCCAACAGACTTACGGTAACTGAAATACCCTATCATGACAAACATTAAAACAAATACTTTTCAATTAAGAAATTGTATGAACAATTTAAATACAAAAAATGTCCAGAATAAATAATTGTTTACAGCTAATACAATTATGCCGACTTTCAATTATACAAAATTGTCTACTTACCAGGGTCAGTGTAGGGATAAGGCGGGGCAGGGAAGTCATCTCTCTCAATTCGTGATACATCTCCAGAAGATGGCTTCCGTCCCCCGGGGTAATGAGAAAGTATTATAGGTTCCTCATTGTTCATATGTGGAGATTTAGGTCTGGGAGTCTCCGCTTGCATTTGATCCACCAATACTCGCATACCTAATCTACTAGACGTCTTGGGCAGTGACAGTTTTCGATAATCCGCTGTAAATTGAAATGCAGTAAACAAATTTGATATGGGTTTTGCACTTTATTTACTGAATAAATAATAATAAAAAATATAAATATTGCAAGCACAGTCTCCTCAAAATGAATCATGGATAAACCACCATGGGAATCATGGGAAACAATGGCAAAGTTTTATATACTGTACATTAAACAGCAATTTTTTTTTTTTTTTTTTTTTTTTTTTTTTTTTTTTTTTTTGAGATATATACAAGAGTTGTTACATTCTTGTACCGCCACTAGTACGCGTAGCGTTTCGGGCAAGTCCTTAATCCTATGGTCCCTGGAATACGATCCCCTGCCGCGAAGAATCGTTTTTTCATCCAAGTACACATTTTACTGTTGCGTTAAACAGAGGCTACAGTTAAGGAATTGCGCCCAGTAAATCCTCCCCGGCCAGGATACGAACCCATGACATAGCGCTCGCGGAACGCCAGGCGAGTGTCTTACCACTACACCACGGAGACTGCTCTTCCTAATTGTCTCCATACCCCAACTTACAAGCATATTCTTCATGGCTGGGATCTTGTAAACAAACAAAAATAAATCAAACTACCCATAATACTACATAGATTTCAACAAAGAAAATTATTTGGAAAACATTCAAATTATTCTTAAAGCACTTGTGTAAGCATTTTTCTTTTGGATCTGTAGTTTCTCAGATTTAAGGTTTCTTACTGCCAGGGATAGGAAGCCTCGTAGACATATCTATATAACCCATTCACAAATTTCATACACTGTAGAGTTAAGCAATTTAAAGAAAAGCCAAGTCAAATTCATATGGCTATCAAGCTCAACCCAACCCATAAAGACAGTAGTAGCATGTGCTTCAAAACTACTACTGTCTTCATGAATTTATGCATACCATATCATTTAATAGAAAATGGCACTTTCCAAACAAAACATAAATTATTATTTAACTTTATACAGTAATTTTGTGTATGCAGTAGTTTGGAAATTGCCATTTTCTATTAAATGATACGGTATGCATACATTCATGAAGAGTTTAAGTGTTTTTGCTTTGTTGGCAATTATTTGTTTTCACAGTACAGTACTGTATGTGGGTGAAGAATTTAGAGAGATGAGCTTAGAGAACAGGCAGGGAGCAAAGCACTGATGAAAGTTTTAACCTAAGTAGCTGTAGGTCATGTTTAAAGTACTATTCATTAAATAACACATTATGGTACAGTACTCATTTGACAATTATGGTATAGTATACAAACTTACTCGGCGGACGGTGGAAGTGTGGCGACTTGGGAGGAGGACGGTCGTAAGGGTCCAACGGGCGTTTGAGGTACCCTTGTGAAGGCTCGGCAGCAAGATAGGAATAGGTGTAGATGCGTGTGATGTCAATAGGGCTTTGAGAAGACTTGTACTCACGAAGAATCAATCCAGGCGAGCATGTGCGATATGGACCTGAGAACTGGGGTAAAGAAATTTACTTAGAATTTTTCTAAAAAGGTAAAAATAAAAGTGAACAAGCAGCCATATTTCAGCAAACATTTACAAAGGACAAATCAAAGATGAGACACCGCATGCGAGAACAAAAGCGTTATAGTGTCTACTCCTCATCTGATTGCCTTTAATGAATACTTTAATCTTGAGGTTATCTTGAGGTTATCTTGAGACGATTTCGGGGCTTTTAGTGTCCCCGCGGCCCGGTCCTCGACCAGGCCTCCACCCCCAGGAAGCAGCCCGTGACAGCTGACTAACACCCAGGTACCTATTTACTGCTAGGTAACAGGGGCATAGGGTGAAAGAAACTCTGCCCATTGTTTCTCGCCGGCGCCTGGGATCGAACCCAGGACCACAGGATCACAAGTCCAGCGTGCTGTCCACTCGGCCGACCGGCTCCCCTCTTCACATGTTTTGCAACACAGACACCATAAATAATGTAGTCTCTCACACACACACACACAATTCTCACTATTAAGTACCAGTAGAATTTAACCAGAACTTTCAGTGACTTGTAGCAGCATACATGATAACTACCAGCAAGTAACTCTAGTATCAAGTACCTTATCCCAGGCCACTGAAATTCATCACAAAATTTTGTTGACATTTTATTTCTAAAAGATGTAAAATGTATGGTGTGTGATCAGGAAGTTCCAAGAAATATTTGATTGTATGAACACATTAGCGTTACAAATTGAAATACACAGTCTGAAAGCTTACCTAGTATATCAGGCCTTAACCTTCAAAGGGTGTTACAACCTTTCTTAAGAGTTACATGGTGACCACCTGTTACTCTCATAACATGTGGTCAGAGTTCAGCCTAACTCTGCCAGTTTTGCGTGAAATTGTAACTACTGTACATGCATTGAATATAGATTTTTTTTTTGTATTTCTAATGTTTTACCATGATTTTTTCAAGTGGAATGATACATTGGGCTGTCAATAATGTTCTTTGTATCACAGACTATAGATCGTAGCTATGCAGATATTTTCGTATCACTAATATGAACACTACGTATTACTGCATATTCTTTGAACAATAAAACACAGTTTCTGCTGTTATTACAATATAAACAGTACATGTTATGATGTGGTTTTGTGTGGTAATGAAATCTAAGCACAGCATAGCACCACACACACATACACCTGCCTGGTGGAAGATCACAGAATTCAAGGTAACTGTTTCATTGTCATGTACACTTATATATCAGCCATTGCCACAGAACAGGAATTTCTAGAGTAGATTCCAAGTGATACTCAATAATTGAGTAAATTTAATAACAAGCCTTATCAGTGCATTCCTGTTGTCATTCCCGTGGCATATTTCTCCAAGTCTGGTTGACCTTCGTCTCATTATCTTTGAACCTCCAACTACAAGACATTCAAAGTAATCATCATCATATCCGCAGTCGTTAGTAATTAACCAACTGTCCCTGAAGTAATCATCAAGTCAGAAATCACTCCTCAGAGCACTCAGGGTTACCCCACAACCTCTAGCACTCCAACTCGAAGTAATTTTATCAACAGAGACTCACTATTTCAGCAACTTGGAATTACCATACCATGTACTTAGCAGCTAATTACTAACTGGTGTTTCTAGTATACACAGTCATGACATATCTAACTCCATTTGCACTGTTACCAGTTCCTCACTCCCATGGTTATCTGCGGTAACCGACTACTGTGTATATAGCGCTTGGTATATTTCCTACTCTATTCCAGAGTACAGTGTTACACTGTCAAGCCAGAATAACACTTATTTATATTTACTTGTAGTGCACATGCCTATCCAGACTATTATATTAGTGTAAGGAAAAGAATTGAAGAAATTCAGTATAATATGAGAAACAATAACGGCTATAAATACCAAGACCCTATATGATGCTGGTTTTGGCGCATTCAGTTCCAATTATGTCTCGGCTGTATTTGGGAAGGGAACCAATTTATTCAAACGAATGCACCCATTTGAAAGTGCTTGTCCCCGAAGTGAGACAATATAATGTCGAGCACTGTATTCAGTCTTTATTTATCTAAAAGGCTACAGTAGTGTTACTATTTAAGCAGTGCAAATTATCATATAAAAAGCAAATTTTCTTCTAAGACAATTAGAAATAATAAAGCTTTTAAAGCTAGCTTGTATCAGTAGTAATGTCTGACAGCCAACCTTTACTGTGAAAATAACACTGAGGTTTATGACTATTGAAAGCAAACTTGACTGACAAATTGACTACTGTGCAAAACAAGATAATTTGTTTATAGTCAAATCAATTTAAGTAATAAAAAAATGCCATAAATTCATGTTTACCATATCATAAATAGTATTACCTAATGCAAACATTAAGTGTTTAGAGGTTAATTAACATTTTGTATCACCTTTTATACAAGTACTTCCAAGATGTCAATTTGTCAAAATTCATGATCCAGTAAAGTAGGCTATTGTACAAGTACTGTAATCGAGATGCATACTAGCCTGCTATTGCAGCACTGCTAAAATGTATATCTAACACCATAAAGAGTAAATCAAACAAACAGGACACAAAAAAAAACTGATAACGCACCTTGCGGTTCAGGCTGTTATATGGGCTATAGGAGCGGAAGGATCCATTAAGGCTTGGCGTGCGGGAGCGAGAAAACTGAAACAAATGGTTAACAAAACTAAAATAAATCTATGCATGCCTATACACTAGGGTTTGCCTAGAAAATTATATACATGCTAGGTTTAATTAAATAAATCCATTAACCTTTGATCAAAATTAAATACAAAGGGAACAAAATTATTTTCAACTTAAAAAGGTTTAAAAACCAAAAGTAAACCACACCAATACACTGTAGGATCTGGAATAGTTTACGCATGCTAACCCACACACACACACACTAAACTGCAGCTCAAAGCAACGAAGGCAAAACTTTCTAATCCTACAAATGTACACAATATTGCCCAGTTAGAATACTTCACACGTGCATGTCTGCAATATTCACACAGCTCTTAACAACACTATTTCAAACATTACAATTAAATTCATACAACAATGTTTTAGTACATATATGTAGTATATATTCCACTAGACTAAACTAATTTATGTCTTGTTTAAAATCTTTTCAGATACAAATGACTTATAAGATGACACTTTATATTAAAATAATTTGCTTAGAAGTCAAATGTTCAAAATTAAAAGCTATAAGCGCACACACTATACACAATATGACATCTACAGGCACAAATGTCGCCAAAATTTCTTAATTAATGCAAAATTGGTCACCTCTATGGGATATTGAAATATTTAGCATAATCATTAACAATAATAAGGATATGCATGATTCCCATCATTATAAGCACCTCCAAGCATAATAGCTATGTACTATTGGGCTATGTAGTGTTCAAACATATAATTAGCATTTCTAATACAGCAGAAACCTCACTCTCTTAATACACAGTAAAGCCAAGGTTTACAATGCTAAATATAAATAGACGAACAGTGCAAGACATTACTTGAGGAAAGTGATTATGACCAATATCATTACTGCCTTCATCCTGGAGAGAGCCACTTTCTAAGAGCACATGGTCTCGTTAAGAAGCTTTATCATATTTTTCTTCTAACTTAATATGACAAATTTGAAAGAGCAAACAAATCACTTGTTAAAATACATGAATTTTAAAATTCATCATCACTGAAAGCATTATATCAGGATTTTAAATTAAAATGTCCTTGACTAATTTATATATTTTGGATAGCATATGGATTTGTAAAGTAAAAATCACAGCCGAATGATTATCTGGCTTTTACCGATACTAAACTTTTCCATAAATGTGTTACTGTACCCTATTTTTGGAACTAATATATACCTGTCAGTAGAAGTTACCAAACCTGTAATTATACACTACCAGGAGAGAAGCGAGTTGGATTTTCTCTTTCCTCCTTACTTCTTATCACCTTGATGTTTCTAAACTTTAGTATACAATATTTAATAATATTGTACTGACCTGATGTTCCTTACCTTGAGGTTACCTTGAGAGAGTTTCAGGGCTTAGCATCCCCGCGGCCCGGTCCTCGACCAGGCCTCCTGGGCCTTGCAACTCATGATTGATAATGCTTTCTACATATTACTGCTTGTTAAAGTGCATGTGAATTACTACAGAAAATAAATGTACATAAATTGCTCCAGAAGAAAAAATTAAAATTATCCGAGATATTAACAAATCCGAAAATGCAACTTCTCACTTAAGCAGTAAGTTGAACACTGCACACAATCAAGTTAGATAAGTAGAACTCTTAAGCTTGGCAACTGAGGACACCAATCATAGTTCCAACAATAATTCTGAAATATACGTATCTAATATTATGACACTCAAAGTAACAACATTACATTCACACGTAACTTGCAATGCAGGAATAAAATTTGTAATTCGCCTGTAACAATTAATAATAAAATATAACTGGATCCTCATGCCTGTGAAGCCAACAATGACTGCACTAGTGATTATGAATTACGACTCCTGTATTCTCATGATGCATGTGCAGCCACCGCAAGAAGCCTTATGTGGGGGTCCACCGCAAGAAGCTTTACGTGGGGCCACTGCAAAAAGCCTTATGTGGGGCCACTGTAAGAAGCCTTACACGAGGCCACTGCAAGAAGCCTTATGTGGGGGCCACTGCAAATAATCTTATGTTTAGCCACTGCAAACATATAACACTGTCATAATCACTGTAGGTCACATGGATGGTTTTGAGTTAGTTAACGCACTCTTACTCAAATCAAACGTTAGTCCAAGAGTACTGAAAATCATAATAAACATGAGTGGTCACGTGCACTCCAGGAAGGCATACCCGCCGCCATCTTCCCGTAGATTCTACAGTTTCAATATACTGTTGAGATGGAAACAACAACAACACATCAGCAATAACATTAACAAAATTATTTTGGCAGAAGTTAAAAATATCGTACCCTTATTTTAAAAGATAATATATATATTTTAAAAACTGTACAGTTCTATTCATAATATTTCAAAATTCTTCAGAACATTAATTGAAAGGATGAAATAGTTTAAAAAATTAAACATCAAACGATACAAAATATGATTTTACTACCTAGTGTGCAGAACTATATACACAAACTTTCCCAAACATTTTTTTATAACTATAATATGTAAATCAACAATACAAACAATTAAAAGTGTGCAAGTGCTTGGAGCAATATCTAAATACTGGAGAGGCCATCAAAAATTGAAGACACTACCAATTGCCTCCAGTAAAATTAAGTGTATAAAGCATCTGAAGGAAAGTGCCTGAAAAATTATATGAATAGGCACAGTACAGTATGTACTATATACTGTAATAAACAGGTACAGTGTAGTATGTATATACTGTAATAAACATGTACAATATGCATATAATAAATAGATACAGCACAGTATGTATAATTTTCAAGACTAAACTACAAAGTAACATTACCTATAAAAATGCACCGAAATCTCAGATAATTATTAACCACTACTTTTGTTACTTCGAGCCAAAATTTAGTGACAGGTAAAATTTATCATGAGAAACAGAATCTGCACCGCCACACAAACCATCTAACACTGCACTTGAATGCTCCGCAAAACTACGGCTGCACTACTCCCCGTGCTTTGTCAGATGTAAACAAAACCACTTTATCCCTGTTAACAAAATGCCACTACCTGGCACTGTTTTCCAACATGTTGTGTCCTATTCAAATTCAAGCCCCACTTACAATCACCTTCATGGTCTTCCTCTTCTGCCCTCAAATCCATTATCATCATCAGTTGATCATCATCCATTCAATTTAACATGACCAAACCATCTTACCGCACTTTTAATTCTGTGCAATTTACAGACCAATAAACTCCTCATTTTAATATTTACTCTATTCTCCTAACATCTATCAAAGCAGTTGAATAATACTGTATATGGTACAGTATATATAAAAACTGGAAATAGTCAAGATTATATTAAATGATGGACATATATATATAATTACTTTATGGATAAAGTAATTTTATCTTTGATCACTTGAGCACTTATGGCTAGTCTTGCAAGTCCTGAATGGTAATCCTCTAGGTATCTCATAAGAGGACCGAGTGAGCCTTGTGTTAATTTTGTCATGGCTTCTTATTTTCAGGGACAGGAAGCCTATTAGGCTTACCGAGGTCTGTTAGGCCAGCTACTGATCTGATCCCAGGATCTGACCCACAACAGTCGCCAAACCAGTAGGTCCAAATTTACTACGTACTTGGTTAACAGAAACATCAGGTGAAAGACAACATGCCCAAATGTATCTGTCTTCTCATAGGAAATGAACCAAGACTGGGTGAGAACCGAGTGCTCAGACCACTGCCCTACAGCACCTTGTCATTTCTACTTATAGCCGAGTGTATCACGATGGAATGTCCTATCTAGTATGCCCATCAGAGGCTTGTCATAATTGCTAAATAATTAAATATAGTACTCATTCTAGGTTGCATAATTTCTCAGCAGACCAAATATTTTGCTTACTTATCAGCCATAACATAGATGCATAAAACTGTAATCTGTTTCCCAGACCAAAAATCAGTTTTCCATAAAACCATTTATCATTAAATTCATAGCCCGTAGGTTTCTGGACTAGAGCAGCACAACCATGCAGACAAGCTCAGGTTTACTGTAAAAATCAACCAACCAAAACAAATGATCTAACTGGACATTATGCAATAATTAACAGTTGGAATTATCGACTAACATTAATTTCACATGCTCTAATAACTGAATATGGATAGTAGCTGCATTATTTGCATTAGTTTTATATAAAACTATTATTTGCCAAAATTCTTATTCAGATATGAATTAGAAATACAATCATTTAGATGGTACATTAAAGCTACCCAGAGGTAATGAATGAACAAATTAAATTGTGATCTAAAAATGGGAAAATCTGATAAAACACAAATGAATACATGGAGTAACAATGTGCAGGCGATGAGTCACAATAACGTGGCTGAAGTATGTTGACCATACACTAGAAAGTGAAGGAACGACGACGTTTCGGCCAGTCCTGGACCATTCTCAAGTCGATTGTTACAATCACAATCGACTTGAAAATGGTCCAGGACAGACCGAAACGTTGTCGTTCCTTCACTTTCTAACTAATAGCACTTACCTGCGTTTCTGAAGCTGTGGAACTCATGCCATCAAAGTCACGCTCTCTCTCAGTTTTTTGTTCCCCATTTATGTGATGGCCATTAGATAATGAGCCATTAAGGACTGTGCCATTTTCTGTGGGCCCAGGACCACAACGAGGATGCCAAATAGCTGTGCCTGTCAATTTGCAGATGAAATATCTTTCAATATACTGAACACTATATATAATGACCTTTGTGAAATTAATTACAAACAAAACTATCATATTTTAATGCAAATTGTATGTTTCTACCTATGCATATTTAATATTCACTTTACATTACAGAAATTCCTTAGTATTGTAGTAAAAATACTGTACTTACCAGATATAATTTACACGATATATATTAACAATAGAACAACAAACCTTGCAAGTACATCTCTTCTCCATCTCCAAATGGGTCGCCACATTTGGTACATCGTGCACAAGTTGGGTGAAAGTGGTGATTGTCGCCAGCTTGCAACACTTTACCACTGATGAACCGGTTGCAGTAAGCACACTTGACACCAAACTGGGCCTGGTAATCCTTCTCGCAGTATGGCAAGCCATCCCTGAAACACCAACCGCGATCAAACTATTGTAAGAGCTCAGTAAATTCAGATTCTGGTAACCCAAATCTTTTAGTAATCTGAATGAATTCACACTTCAGTTTTTGGCCTATTACCCCCATAGGAATTTGGATTATCAAGATCACTGCTGCACAAAAGCCTGGATAAATTTGAATTTTTTAATTTTGTTAACATTCTCAGTAAAAAATTTAACTAATGCAAACTGGGGTGGGCCCCATATAATTTGGATTATCAAGCATAGACAGTACAGTATTGCCCTGAAATGTATACAGTAAAATGCTAACATATGAAATGGGTTGATAAAGTTTCAAGTTAACATTATTTTTCACGAATGTTGATTACCTACCTTATGCCAAAAATAATAGTTTTGTAGGTAAACCTGCAGGTTATCAAAAAGAATGTGAAGAGCTATGCATCTACAAAACAAGAAATGACTTGCATAATCCTGATAATGAGCATAATAATACTTGCACTGATAATAACCTAAGTGTAGTTACAGGATGAGAGCTACGCTCACGGTGTCCCGTCTTCCCAGCACTGTCATATAACACTTTGAAAATTGATGACAATTAAGACATGTTTCTCAAACACCTCGCTAATCTATTTTAAGAATTTTTGGTTGCGTCAAACTTGAACTTGGTAACGTCAAATATCTACCACCAGGGAATTGTACATGGTCCAATGATAAACTGTCTTGTACTACAATACACAAATCATGAAAGTTTAACGCTAATATGTGAAAGCATTCTCCAGGTGTCACATGAACATGACAATACAATAGTAAATGAAAAGGGCAAACCAAAAGGTAACCCTCCTAGATGTGCATGTAATTCAACAAAGACACAGCAACTGGGGTGCAAATGGATATGCAGTATATCTAATTACAAAAGCATTACAAAACTAAGTGGATGACAGTTGTTAAAGATTCGCTACTTGGAACAAACAGTTCCAAGTAGCACGGGCTATGGTGAGCCCGTAGATGACACGCATAATTACGAAGTTATACTCACTTTCCCATATACTCTCCATGCAGCACAGTGCTACAGATGGCACACTTGAAACACCATATATGCCACTGTTGGTCCAAGGCGATCAGTGCCTGGCCCTCCACTAGCTCTTCCTTGCATCCGGCACATTCTGCAAGAAAAACACCTACTTAGTTTGCAAGATATACATTGTTGCACATGTTTTCTGCATTATGACATATAAATGATGCCAGTGTATCAATACTTAGCCAATACCTTGAGTTTACCTTGAGGTGATTCTAGAGTTCACCACACACCTAGCTCTAACTTGGTACTCCTTGACCCCACCAGTGATAATTCACTGTACATTACCTACTATTAACAGTCTTTTCGTTAGTGGTAAATTCAAGGAATTTTCTAAATTTGGTAAGTTTCTGAACGTTTTTTTTTGCTCGGAAAAACTATTTTTCAAGTTATTTTGGGAAATTGCAAAAAACTAAAATGTATAGACGACATACAGTAGAAGTGATACCAGACCATTGCAAGAGTAAGTACAATCATAACTACAAAACAAGCAAACACCATACACAATATAGAACAATACAGTTATTAAGGTTGGTAAAAACACTTAAAGCCTGGTGTATAAAGAAGCATGTATTAAAAAACCAACTACTGTATTACCTAGTGAAACCCCAAATTTTTCATCCCCCAAATCATATAGCACATAGGCAAGGCAAGACATTTGGGTACATTTGCTTACATTTGATGTCTTTGTTCATCTAGCAGTAAATAGCAACTAGGAATTAGGCAATTGACTGCCTATTTAGACCTAGGTTAGGTTTATAACTTTTTTTTTAATTTTTATTCCCTTTAGAATTCCTACAGTATAAATGTGAATTTTTTTCGGTATGACGGTGTGGTGTATGAAGAGTCCTGTACACCTCGTCTTATGAAGCAGAAGGACAACTGGGAGTGTGGTATTGTAGTGCACGAATAGTACTGTACACCTGGTCTTGTGACTCGGTAGTCAGTCTACTGCTCCATTAAACTAGTTGTACAGGGCTCCACGTGCACTTTAGTCTAAAGGAGCAGTAGAACAGCACAATCACACTACCACTACCAGCACTACCACACACTAGCATGCCTGCTGGAGTGTGGTAGTCCACAAGGAGCAGTATAATGACTGCTGGGGTGTAGTTGTGGTGGTCCTCGAGCACTGTACTCCCACTACAAAAAAAAAGTCAAATTTGACAAATGTTACAGTGACATCACTGGGGGTGTGAAACACACTTCCACCTAGTGTTGTTAGCGGGACCGTTGAGCAATACTCAGCATAATGTCCTCTATTTCTCATGTTTGTCACTGAGCTGGGATGTCCCCTTGGTACAAACTACAATTGTTTACAGGAGTTTACCTGAGAGCCACCAACACTAGTGGCCTCAATGAATACAGGAAGCCGGCGGCTTGTCGCTGTCCCCCCCCCCCCCTATTAATTTTCCTTTATCTTTTCCAGCTAAACTTTAAATGTTAAGTTTTGGCATTTACAGCTTTGGCGGGTAGGCAGTTCCATGGGTTTAATTGGTGTTGCTACTATAAAATGTGTCAGATGTAGCGTAGTAGACTCTCAATCATATGAACCAGAGTGCAATTCTCGGGTAGAGCACATAGTTTGATCACATGTACTAACACCTGATGCTTCTGTTCACCTAGCAGTAAATACCTTCCCAGGAGTTAGGTACCTGTTGCGGGCAGCATCCTGGGAAATGCCAGTAGTTCCTACAGGTCCATCAATGAGCGAAACAGAGAGCGGGGTAGAGCGACGGTTTCGCTTCATGCAGGTCAGCGTTCAATCCGTGACCATTCAAGTGGTTGGGCACCATTCTTTTACCCCGTCCTATCCCATCCCAAATCCTTATCCTGATATTGATTGATAAAAGATTAAGCCACCCAAAAGGTGGCACGGGCATGAATAGCCCGTAAGTAGTGGCCCTTTTGAGCCATTACCAGTATCAATAGATGATACTGGAGATCTGTGGAGGTGCGACTGCACCCTGCGTGACGTGACAGGAGATGTCTCCCATCCCTTATCCTGACCCCTTCCCAGTGCTATATAGTCGTGATGGCTTGGCACTTTATCCTGATAGTTCCCTTCCCTTCCCCCCCCCCCTGGCAATTGCAAACCAAGCAATTGTAAACCACGTGCATGGTTCACACAAATCAGTGAGGTGTTGACTAACACACGGGAGTTGGTACAGTCCACCAACAATGCAGTGCCTCTAATACCATGAGGAAGATGGTTACATCAGCTAACCTTAGCTCCGTAATGATAAAATGATGCATTGTTGGAGTTACGTCAGGAAAAGTGAAAGCAAATCATGTTTTGGTGGTGCAAACCTGGATTTATGGATTGTGTGTGTGTGTGTGTGTGTATTTATATATATATATATATATATATATATATATATATATATATATATATATATATATATATATATATATATATATATATATATATATATATATATATATATATTATTTATCTATGATATAGATGATGATTGATGATATGTAGTATGTTGTTATAAACCCCAATATATATATTATTTATATATGATATACTGTACTGTATATGATGATGATATGTAATATGTTGTTATAAACACCAAGATATTCATGGGTGGTGTATACGACGTAGCAAACAATCTGACTTTTTAAACGTTATGGAAACTGCAAAGAATTGCCTCCTAAAAAATTTGTAACAAGTTTCTGTGAAGAAGCCATGAACAGACAACGGAATTACTGACGACGTCACAGTTCATTTCGTAAGGCTTCCGTTTCTCTTATAATACATAATAATTATAAATAATTTGTCAGGGGGATAGGCAGCCAGTGTATATTAATAATTCACTTATTATGTCACAACCCCATAACAAGCTAACTCCCGGGTACCAATTTACTGCTAGGTGAACAGGCGCATTAGGCGATAGGATTGATTGATAAAGATTAAGCCACCCAAGAGGTGGCACGGGCATGAATAGCCTGTAAATGGTACAATTTTTTGTTCAGTAATTCTTTTCAGTATTCTGAGGCGATAGGAAACGCCCCCAACCATTTATGTCCCGCCCAGGATTAGATGCCAGAATTCCCAATTCTAAAGTCCAGATACTATAGCCTAATAAATAGACGTGATAAGAGCCAAGTTGACATCAGCCAGCCCACACATCACAAGGCTGGCATGGATAAAACAGCCTTACTTGGTTTCCTATTAGAAAATCCACAGGACCCGTGATGAGGATTGGAACCCATGCGCTGGGTTACTTACTCCAAGACACACAGGATTTTCTCATTGATTTATCACGTTATTGTGACTTCTCTGTGTGGTTTCCTATTGTCGGGGGACAGGTGTGGTGTTAGGCTATCGTCCTGGGTGGAAACGGAGCTCGGGTTCAATCAGATTTCTGTTATCAATCCCCCAATTTCACCCCACAGGAAACATGCGAGACTTGGTGTAATAGCCTAGTTGTGCTTGCGGGGGTTGAGCTTCGCCTCTTTGGTCCCCGGCCTCTCAACTGTCAATCAAATCTTAGGTAGAAGATGAAGGATAAAACAAAGTATATTTACCTAAACACAGAGTAAACTTTATTACAAGCTTTCTTGACCCGTCCCTCCGCCTTTTACAATACTTCTTCACGGAGACACGAACTTGGGTGCTGATCCTGACGTCCTCTGGTCTGCACTCCTCACTCCCTACGTCGCCCTCACTATCAGAAAACTGGCAAGCATTCTCGCTCCCCTCACTACAGTGTCCTGGGACACACTTCGCAGGGGTTTTGAATGTCATGGGGAGCGTAATATACCCTTCGTAGTTTCCCAGTTTCATGAGGTCAACGAGGGAAGAACATTTCTCTGAAGCCGGGTCGATCGCAAGCAGGATGGAAGACTGCTGACTGGTTGCTTCTGGGATGATGGTTCTGGCTGGACTAGTACGCCCAGTGACTGTGGAAGCCTGGTACGTCTCTTCTGATGAAATGGTGGTATATGGCGGCGTCTCTCGTGGTTCTGGGGCCAGTGGTGATGAGTAGTTCTCTATTGATTCCTGCCCAAGTGATTGTTCTGATGGATTGAGGGTACTTGACTTGCTCTCTACATACTCTGGAGTAGGCGAGTGGTTGATTGGTGGGAGTGTAGGTGGGCAGCCCTGTGTCTCTGGGGCGTGTGATGAGTTCTCTACTGGTTTTAGTGTACAAGGAAATTTGTGCTGATCTGTCAGCTCAGGGGCGGATGACCAGAGCTCTCGACTCCCTGGTGATAACGAACAATTCTCAGTATACTCCGGGGAAAAAAACTTTTTGTCCTCTAGCGATTCTGGATAAAGTGGGTTCTCATACAGTTCTTGATTTGGAAAGTTGCCGTTCTCTCGTAGCTCCGGAGAGAAAACTGATGTATTCTCATTTAATGAGCGAGGAGACGGGGATGAAGCGTGTATTTCTGCCGTTGGATATGACTGGCTAATGTTAGCTCTACGGCATGATGAAAAGGAATTAATCAATTCGGAAGACACAGGTGTCAGTTTCTCAGCATGTGTCTTTCGGTGAAGTGGCGGAGCTGCGAGATTTTCACGAGCAACGCATTTCAAACTCTCCTCGTGTTTTCTATGAAAGGTATGGACACTATTGGGATTGAAACTACTGATATTAACCTCTGAGTTAGGAGGGCGCTTATGCTCCGGATACAGCAAAATGATCGGGTCTACTTGTTCGGAAGATGTGAGTGGTGAAGTTTTTTGTAAACTAAGGCGTGGACACGGGGTTCTGGTCGAGTAAGGTGACTGAGGGACACGGGGTAATCCTACACCCTCTTCTAGTACCTCGGGCGTGTTGAAGCCCAAGACGGATCGAGTTTCCAGGACTAGATGAGAATCTCTATCACAGGTTCCTGGATCCCATAGGTTCTTGCATGTTGACCGCAAGGTCGTATCTTCGAATGACAGTGACTGTGGCCCGTTTTTCTGCAATCCACTAGTGTCATCCCTTTCATGTGTGTTAGAGGAAAAGGTTTCTGATAACTTTCGAAGTCTGCCGACGGGAGCTGAGGGTGTGGCCGTGCCGTCTGGTGGTTCCCGCTGAGCAAGTCCTCCAACAGGTGTGTGTGTGACACTATACCTATCGGAAGGAATTGCGACCCTACGATCCGGCGCACCTGAGCCTCCACCATTATCACCCAAGGAAGCCTCTACCCTTGTTTCCTGTGGGAGGGAAGGTTCACTCCCATGGTCAATGACTCCCTGGTTTAGAGGGGTAGTGGTGTTACCCTGCCAGTGACCTTCAACTCTTGAACCACCACCACCAAGATCATTTTTCAGGATAGATGTGGGTTGAGTCAGTACTGGAGCCTCCGGAGAGAGGATGGGAGCGGCAGATGAAACATCCTTGGTGGTGCGACAGAGAACTTCTTGGATCTTCCTGTAGAGTGGGTAGCGGGAGCAGAGAGAGTGACTGAGGCATGAGGCTGGGATGGAAAGTCTTCGCTGTAGTGGAGATAGCGAGGACATTTTCCCCTCGGCGTCGCTGCTTGGTACTGGCATTTTGTCAAGGTGTTCGTTGGTCAATGTTCGCTTACCCGTGGAGTCATCAGCCTCACTACACACGCCGTGTTCCCCACCCGAGGGGTAAGCAAACTTGACTGCGCTCCAAAACTTATCCCTGGAACGCTCCCAATCAGTTGCTGCTGCAGCAGTTGTAGTATGTGCAGGAGGAAGGTGTGCGAGGCTTGCAGCAGTCATATGTTTCCCCCGACACCCACCCCGGGCGGTGCTCCACCTCAGGCCGTGTGGCCAGGGCTGGCCAGGGGCGTCCACCGAGGGCTGGACACGACGTGGCCGCCACCCGCTACAAGTCACTCCTTCCCTATCATTAGCCCTGTTGGTGCTCACTCTCGCCCCACCACTTCCCAAACGAGGATGAAAATCCATGTCTGGCTGGACGCAGGCGCCAGGGGCAAAGGCTGGATGCGGGAAGTTGAGGTAGTTAAAAGGGTAGCCGGGCCTGGGGGAGGTGTGGTAATGGTGGACTGGAGTGTCGAGGCGACTCCCATTACCATGGTCACGCTGGTGTAAGCTGTCTGCTACACCCCTCACAACACCCTCCACCCCGGGTGATACTCTGACATTATTATGAGGGAGAATTTGAATTTTTTGATTGCACGAATTCTTACAGCAACCACAGTCGGTACCGTCGCAACACTCGGTAACTCTGCCTTCCAACATACTTTCACAATAGCCATCACCGTTTTCACTATCCTGGCATATATTAGAGTCATATGTTAGGTTGAGTCGTCTGGTATTGTCACGTCGCCTGGGCCTGGCCCAGCACTTGTCAACACTTCTGCCCTGGTACATGGCCGCCTCACACACTGCCTCCCCATTCCTCTCCTTTATCATATTCACCGATATATCTTCATCGGCGTAGTTTTTATCATGGTTAGTTTGTACTGTAGCAGTGGAGTATACACCAGCGGCAGGGGGCGGGGCGGTAGCGGGCGGTGGCCGCCCATTTACTCCTAACTTCTCACGCACGCTCCATTGCGGCAAAATTTTATTTGTGCCGGGATCATTTTCTTCGTCCTTCACGTCACTGAAAGGTCGTAGACAAAAGTATGTTTTGCCTCTCTTGCTTTTATTATTTTTTTGTGTTAAGTGTTGATTCGTGAGATCGTTGGTAACTTGTACCTCACCTGTCCTGCCATTGTTATGGGGGATATCGAGACACCAGCTGTCATTGTCTACCCTGCTCCTGTTGTCTCTCTCATATTTACCTTGATATTGCGATAGGAAATCTAGAGAATCATGTGTTTGTGTGGCGAGGTTTGTGTCGTTATCGTCATGTGTGGCTTGCATGTCACAAACTAGCGCCTCATCCGTGTCGCTATCATCACCATCACCGCTCTCATCACCACTATCACCTGTGTCATCACCATCCTCGCTCACCTCTTCATTGAGGACGTTCTGACCAAGAATGGTATTTAAGTTCACCCCTCTAAAGTTACGATGTGTTGTGCTGGCATCGTGGAAATCGTAACTCGTATAGTTATCCTCTCCACCGTGATGGTCGTACGTGCTGGTATCGTAGCCTCGTCTGCCGGCGGGACATTTCCGCCTGTTCCCATATCCGCTCCACATACCCGTGTCCTCAGGCCTAGTGCAGCTGCTAGGCTTTTCACCAGAGTGCTGCCAGGCTTGACATCCAATCTCTGCTTGGTAATTCTGGTAATTATTGTCACTCGTGAAAAAAGGCCCATTTGCGTGGTAAGCATCGGGAAATTCATTATCATTGTGAGAGAAACCAAGTGATGAATCTTTCAATTTTCTCTGAATTTCCTGCCATCTCACAGAATCCTTTTCATCAAACCATGGACTTCCGTCTGACACGTGGGCTTTCCGAGTCCATTTTTCATGGCCTTCGTTCATCAATACTTTGAGGTCATCCTGGTGACGAGGTCCATTGTGTGGAGCACTCGAGGATGTATGTCCCACTCGGTACCATCTTCTATTTTCTTGGTCCAGCCACCCATCATTATCCTGGCAAACCGATTTGCCAAATTTATCTCCCATTCTTCTGTGTCGCATCCGGTTTTTGCAGTTTTCCTCTGCTTTCCAGGTCACCACCTGCTGGCACCTGTCTCGTTCCATCAGACATCCTAGACAGGTGCCAGACGGGTGAGGTACGGGCGTGTCGGGTGCTGGTTTGCAATAACTCTGGCATGTTGCAAGGTCTGCTGAAGTAGCACCACGTTCTGTAGGTTGCCAAAGGGCTGGATTATATCCTAGCAGTGTAGAGGAGCTTCCTAGGTCAGAACGGCTTGAGCACCGGGACTCCGGAATACCAAGCGACGTAGTGCAAGCATCAGATACCGTGTACTTCGAGTCCACCACCAATCTCGGCCAATCGTGACAGTGCCAAGTGGCATCTGAAGCATAAGAGGCACAGTTATCTCGTGTGTCAGAGTCTGTGTCGCCGTCGGAGGAGCTCGTATTGCTCGCATCATCAAATTCCGATTCGCCAGTAGATGGACCCGACTGCGGATGAGCGAAAGTCTCTCTCAGAACACAAGTATCAGCCTCGCTCCACTCACTCTCGGACAAGGACCCGCAGGAGCCATCACCGACGCTCTCCGCAAGGGCTTCACCGGAATTAGCAGCATAATCGCCATTGAATTCCTTCCCAGTATTAGTTGCGGCTACCCAGTTACGAAGCTCAAGCATGTATTTCTGATTTCCGGTTCCGCCAGTGTCAAAGCGCGCAGTGTTATCAACAGGTTGGGAAGGGCGCCAGAGAGCCGTCACATCACCATGGTCCAGCTCACACACCAGTTGGCCATCTGAAATTCTTCTTGCTTGATCCACTGCACTAAGCCCTTCTTCATTGTCATAGTTGACATCATGACTTCGCCGACGTATGAAGCATTTTGAGTGTTCTTTCCTGTTAGAGTCAGCATCATCCCACGACACACAGGACTTTGCGCCAGACACGGTCCTTCCGTTAGTGTGGTCTAGAGCTTCCGGGGTTCGTGCATCATCACTCGAGCCGCTGTCATCTATATAATGCTCTTCACCCCAGTCGAAACACTCGTCCGTGTAGCCGAGTTCTTCCCTTGTTGCTGCTGTTTCTTCTGCCTGGTCCCTCTGAATGTCTCCAAGGCTTCTGAACGGAGTAAACTCGAAATCCTCATCGACTTCCCACTCATCATTATCACTCAATCTCTCCTCTGCACCCCTCACCTTGTCACATTCCTCACATTCTTGTGCCTGGGTTTTCTCCCCTCTACCATTGTTTAACGCAGTGGCTTCCGCAAGGTCAGTTTGGGGCTCAAGGGCAAAGACCTCATCCTCGAGCCACGAGAAGCAGTGGGTGACGGCACAGATGGCTCCCTCCTGAGTTATGAAGTCTGGACTCACTCCCGCCCCGGAGTCTGACGAGGCTGACGATGACGCGGGATCCTCTTCGCTCTCGTGAATGTCCAAACTGAGATGTGTCACATCCTCGTCACTCGAGCACCTGCGACCGTCTTGTGTTAATGTCTCGGTATCTTCTTCCAGATCCCACTGGAGGGACGTCAGACTAGGAGGGTCCTCGCAGGAGTCACACTTCTCTACTAGGCTCTTCTCGCGACTCAGAGACACACACGACACAAGATCAGAAATACCCTCATCTTCGGAAAAGGTGCCCCCGCGTAAGACCCCTGGCTCTTCTCTGTATTTTAAAGATTCATGTTTATCTAAACTTCCGAGAGGTTCCAGTTTATCTGAATCTTGAGGAGCCATATCAACACCTTTCTTGCTTCTGCCGGTGTGGACGCCAGCGAGGGGCGTGGCAAGACCACGCCCTGATAGCTCCCATGCTACTTCGTCCTCTTCCTCGGCGTGCCCTCGAAGACGCTGCAAAAGGTCTCCGCTGAGACGTATACGAGAGAACTTCTTGCCCTTCCTGCAAAAGGCGCTGTTCTTCAGAGATGACGTGCAGGTGTTAGCATCTGTTGAGGTGGTTGCTGGGTCTCCCATCTCACACCTGTCAATACGTCTGGCATCTGTCATCCTTGATGAATGCCAGTCTTCGTTTTGATTTTCCATTATATCCTCTTATTATTGGCCCTAGTTTGCATTTAATTATAGCCTACAGTACAATACCTTCCAAGTGTACATTCCTTTACAATCTGACGTTGTTCACTGTTTAAATATTTTAATAAATTATGTCTTGTCAAAGTATCTGCGTGTGGGCCTTCCTTAGCTTTATTACTGGCATTAATCACAAGAGGCCAGCTTTAACATATTGCTAACACCAGCTTACTGTCACGAATCAAGCTTCCATCGCCCGGTGCTAAGTGCATCACTGCCTTCATATACGACCCAAGTGCAGGGAACTCGCGATCTACCCAGCACTCCAGAGAAGGTGATAACACCAGGCACGATAACCATTAACACCACCCAGCTCCTCCACCACAGCTCATAACCGCACGCAAGACACAGGAGCAGCAAGCTTCCGCACGCGGGGGTGGCCCAAGCCATACTGAGCCACTCCACCTCTCATCTGACACCATGTACCTCTACACCCCCCAAATCCACCACCACCCCCTAAATCATCCAATCATCCACCACCCCCGTCCCCTAAGAGAATAATAAGCTCTAATAATTACAATTATTCATCTTGGTAATAACATTATGATTACAATTCTAATTATTAGTATTTATCAACCTCTTTAAAGTGAGTTTCCTACCACCACAAATTACATGGGGGCGGATGGGGGGTGGATGGAGGGGGTGGAGCCCCCGCCTCCTATGATAGGCCTATCTCATTGTACAAACATTACCAATATTATGAATTAAAATATCATCCGCGGCTTCTTTCATTGCATTCTACTTTTGGTGGGCAAAAGGGCATCAGTTGGGTGTGGAGAGGGAAGGTGTGGAGAGGGAAGGTGTGGAGAGGGAAGGTGTGGAGAGGGAAGGTGTGGAGAGGGAAGGTGTGGAGAGGGAAGGTGTGGAGAGGGAAGGTGTGGAGAGGGAGGGTTGAGGGTGTATGGGTGTGTCCATATTCGTTTGTCATCCATAGACATTACAAATCTGTTCCACCACATAACAATGGGTTACTGAACAACCAACCACAATTCGTGATTTGATTTCATGGGTGGAATATGCACATCCTGATTGTGTACAGAAGGGGGAGGGGGGGGGGGAGAGGTGAAGGGGAGGGGGGTGCATGGATAGCTTTTGGACATTCGTGGTATGGAAGGAGATGGATGAATTTGATCAATACTAAAACACATCTAACAAAATTAATCCCAATAAATATAATTGATTATATATATATATATAAACTACCTATGACCTTAGCCCAGGTGGGGTTCCATGCGGGTGCCGCATAGTAATGCAATATAGACTATTCCATTACTATTCCATCCATAGACTACTTTTTCAGCTGCAGTGATAAAATAAGGTTATATATTTTACGTAAATGCTCAACGCTTCAGTGTCGTGTGAAGTCAGTTTGTGGTTGTGTTTGATCTTACTGGTTGCGTGCGTGCGTGCGTGTGCGTGCGTGCGTGCGTGCGTGCGTGTGCGTGCGTGTCTCTTCATAGTTTTCCAAACATGATTAAGTTCAGTAATGCTGTACTCACCTAATTGTGCTTGCGGGGGTTGAGCTCTGGCTCTTTGGTCCCGCCTCTCAACCGTCAATCAACTGGTGTACAGGTTCCTGAGCCTACAGCGCGCTATCATATCTACACTTGAAACTGTGTATGGAGTCAGCCTCCACCACATCACTGCCTAATGAATTCCATTTGTCAACCTAGCAGCATCGTAGCAAACACTACAATGCTGTGTTTGCATCGTAGTGAGCGCTTCTTTTACCCATATAAATTTACAAAGGTAATACTTGTTACAACTTTACCGAGGCTCATTTGACTAGACATGGGCAACTAAAGGAAGCTAATGGCAGACGCTGTAGGAGGAGGAGGAAGCTAATGGCAGACGCTGTAGGAGGAGGAGGAAGCTAATGGCAGACGCTGTAGGAGGAGGAGGAAGCTAATGGCAGACGCTGTAGGAGGAGGAGGAAGCTAATGGCAGACGCTGTAGGAGGAGGAGGAAGCTAATGGCAGACGCTGTAGGAGGAGGAGGAAGCTAATGGCAGACGCTGTAGGAGGAGGAGGAAGCTAATGGCAGACGCTGTAGGAGGAGGAGGAAGCTAATGGCAGACGCTGTAGGAGGAGGAGGAAGCTAATGGCAGACGCTGTAGGAGGAGGAGGAAGCTAATGGCAGACGCTGTAGGAGGAGGAGGAAGCTAATGGCAGACGCTGTAGGAGGAGGAGGAGGAAGCAAGTGTTGGTCAACAGCAGTCTGTGGGGAAGTGGACGTGTTCAAACACCAGCAGAGCAGCTGCACGGGCCCACAGCGCCTTCACCTCACTCCCAGGTAGGTGGCTGCACCTGCTTATAGCTTAAGTGCAGTTACAGCCCCGCTCCTGTGCCAGGTAAGTCCACTACGGGCTCACCATAGCTCGTGCTACTTGGCACTTTGTTCCCAGTAATTGTATCTATAACAACAACAGCTCAAGTGTGCGCACACGCGCACAGTAGCGAGCAGGTAGCAGAGGAAGAAGCAATAAAGTGCAATACAATCCACCTATTTAAACGTAGACAAGTCATAAACTGAAAGCAAGAATCCAGCAGATACTTTAAACCGAGCACGTAAGATTCCAAGAGCTAGTCACTCTTTGAGTGATTAGCTAGAGTGGCATACCTCCCAACACCGCGTCAAGACTGAAGAACAAGCGGCGGGGATTTAACAACGACCTACAAAATACTCGAGGGTAGAGAGACAAGGCAAGACACGTGGATGGTGAACGCGCAGGATAGTCAAGCGAGAATCCGAAGAAAAGTTACATTTAGGGGAGTGAAGGCGTTAAAAGAACTTAAAAGGAAATAATTAAGCCGGACCCCATTATTTGTTTACAGAGTACAATGGGTTTGAGAGACTACGTAATATTGGCATGTTTACATTCTTGTAATGCCACTGACACGCATGGCGTTTCGGGCAACACGCATTTAATAGTTTGTGAAACAGACGATGACCTCCAAGTACGCCAGCTGACTGAAGGATTGATGATGAAGATTAAGCCAGCCAAAAGGTGGCACGGGCATGAATAGCCCGTAAGTGGTGGCCCTTTTGAGCCATTACCAGTATCAATAGATGATACTGGAGATCTGTGGAGGTGCGACTGCACCCTGCGTGACAGGAGATGTCTCCCATATGTGACTGCAGGTTGAGAGGCGGGCTTATGAACTGAAGCTCAGCCCCCCGCCCACACAGCTAGGTGACTACATTCAGGAGAGCACAGGCACAAGGCACACACACAAGACTCAACATAAAACACATGAGCATCAAACAATGGTCTTAAACTGGTACTCTAGACATGCCTTAAACTCCCCCTCATGGGCCGCTTCCTCTTTCCAAGATAATTTTAACCACCATCTTCCCTCCTCCCCTAAATACTTAATGACCCTTGAACCTGCACGCGGTGGTGACCTCTGACACATAATTCATCATAACAAGAGCGAGAAAGTGGCGTTCCTCTGGGCTCTCACTTGGCGTGACAAAATAATTGAGGGCCACGGGAGGCAGGCAGTGAGGTGTTTGGTTTGACCCCGGTAGACCTCTTCTCTCCGAGGCGGCGGTGACCTGCTCCTGTAACCTCTCCCTTACTTCCTTCCTTAACGTTGCCTCGCCATAGACACTGTGAACAGCCGGTCGCTGGACTTGTGATCCTGTGGTCCTGGGTTCGATCCCAGGCGCCGGCGAGAAACAATGGGCAGAGTTTCTTTCACCCTATGCCCCCTGTTACCTAGCAGTAAATAGGTACCTGGGTGTTAGTCAACTGTCACGGGCTGCTTCCTGGGGTTGGGGGCCTGGTCGAGGACCGGGCCGCGGGGACACTAGAGCCCCGAAATCATCTCAAGATAACCTCAAGATGACCCTAACACGGCCTCGCCTCACCACCTCCACAATGCCGCCCCGGGAACTAACTCCCTGACACCTGTTTACAGCTTGGTGAAGGGGAACCGCTGCCCATTTGTTTCCGTTCTGGTCAGGATTCGAACTCAGGACTGCGGGTGAGAATCGGTCGTTCACCGCTTTGACCGGTGTAAACGTCTTCACAGTGCCTGAATTATGAACAAGACACTACCGGTTATTTTGGTGGAGGGAATTAAGTTTAGAGCTCCTCCCGTGCTGGTGGCCAGGAAACACCGGAGCTGGTGGTGGTGGTGGTGGTGGCCGCACGCAGGCATGGTTGGGTCAGTGCTATGATAGAGAACACAGCGGTACACTGGCCACGCTCTGCTGCCTTGCCACAACGGCATCACCCTGGCGGCGGCGACGACGACGACGACAAGTGGCTGGCTGGCTGGCACTCGTCACCTTCTCCAGACGCGCCGACTGTGTCACGCCACACACGGGGTCTTCACTAACAAGTTCACACACGTCTTCAACGTGTAGACCTAACGACCCTCCAGAGGAAATTTAACGAATAATTAACATTTGCTCTTATGTGTATTAATACAGTATTTAGTACATTTACCGCCTCGTCTTTAATGCATCTTGAAGATGCCCTAAGCCTCTGGCTGGCCCACTGAGTGTGACTCGGTCCTTTGATAGAATTCTCTCTCTTTCCTTACCTACTGAACCTTTGCTTTTCAACGGGCTATTTTGCACTTCCTGCCATGCCTCCTGGTCTCGTGAATTATTTTGTGCGCAAATTTGGAACCAGTCCTAATATTTTCGAAGGATAAATACACACACACACACACACACACACACACACACACACACACACACGAGGCCCACCAGGTTCGAATCCTCGTCACGGCCCTATCCACCAGGCCTCGTAGCCTGGTGGATAGCGCGCAAGACTCGTAATTCTGTGGCGAGGGTTCGATTCCCGCACGAGGCAGAAACAAATGGGCAAAGTTTCTTTCACCCTGAATGCCCGTTACCTAGCAGTATATAGGTACCTCGGAGTTCGTCAGCTGCCATGGGCTGCTTCCTGGGTGTGTGTGTGTGTGTGTGTGTGTGTGTGTGTGTGTGTGTGTGTGTGTGTGTGTGTGTGTGTGGTGAGAAAAAAAAGTAGTTAGTAACAGTTGATTGATTGACAGTTGAGAGGCGGGCCGAAAGAGCAAAGCTCAACCCCCGCAAACACAACTACGGGAATACACACACACACAGACCGCCAGGATGACGTTCCACAATACTTTATGGCCACTCAGCCACCTCCACCGCCGCCCACATTTTACTACTGTGTGTGTGTGTGGGGGGGGGGGGGGAAAGGAAAAACAAACTAAGCTGCCAGGTTTTCCCACGACCCGTGAAACAAGCGGCCCCTTCTCTCGATTTATCGTAAAAAAACTGTTTTGCATAACTTTCTAGAAACGTAGGAACCCAAGCAACCCACCGAACCTATCGCAGCCAATACATAGAAAACGACCCGTCCTCAGAGAGGCGGCAATTACTT